GCTGTTGCAATTTGTGTTGCACTTTGGAGATAGCCTAATCAATTTTTCATTTCGTCAAATGCATTTCGAGAACTCGAGTGTCTCCGTTGATTCGGTAAAAAACCGATGCCCTCGCATCAGACGAAAACACTCGATTATTCTCGCTGGCGACCTTCCACAAATTGAGGTTTGTTATTTATTTTAATTTTTAAAATCTTCACTTTTATGGGCAAATGGCTAGCGTTTGAATTTGTTTAACCGTAACATGAAATGCGTTAATGTTTAGAAATTGGATTAGAAAGTAAGAAATATGATAATTTAAACATCACATTGGCACTCTACTCACTATATAGTGGCGACTCTGTGATAGAAAACAAACCACCACTTCTTGAGTTTAGTTCATTAAAAGAATTAAGCCAAGATAAATTTACTTAAATGTTAAGTACTGCTATGTGCACGCATAAAGAGTTTACACGATTGTGTGATTGCGTCTTGTGGTCAGTAGATTGGAACTTAAGCGAAATCAGACAGTATGGCAGTTTCTGTAAGAGCTAAAACCAAACGATGTGACAGTTTCTGTAAGAGCTAAAACCAAACGATGTGACAGTTTCTGTAAGAGCTAAAACCAAACGATGTGACAGTTTCTGTAAGAGCTAAAACCAAACGATGTGACAGTTTCTGTAAGAGCTAAAACCAAACGATGTGACAGTTTCTGTAAGAGCTAAAACCAAACGATGTGACAGTTTCTGTAAGAGCTAAAACCAAACGGTGTGAGTTTCTGTAAGAGCTAAAACCAAACGATGTAACAGTTTCTGTAAGAGCTAAAACCAAATGGTGTGACAGTTTCTGTAAGAGCTAAAACCAAACGATGTGACAGTTTCTGTAAGAGCTAAAACCAAACGATGTGACAGTTTCTGTAAGAGCTAAAACCAAACGATGTGACAGTTTCTGTAAGAGCTAAAACCAAACGGTGTGAGTTTCTGTAAGAGCTAAAACCAAACGATGTGACAGTTTCTGTAAGAGCTAAAACCAAATGGTGTGACAGTTTCTGTAAGAGCTAAAACCAGACGGTGTGACAGTTTCTATCAGAGCTAAAACCAGACGGTGTGACAGTTTCTATCAGAGCTAAAACCAGACGGTGAGGCGGTTTCTGTAAGAGCTTAAACAAGACGGTGAGACAGTTCCGTAAGAGCTAAAACACCAGTCTCACTGATCTTAACCTTTCACCCAACCAAGTAGGCAAACACCAGGTAGGGGAATAGCCTGTCTGCGTACACCGCCGTACACAACAGTATTGAGTGTAGAAATGGTAGACCATCAAGATTGGTCGGCTACATTTGTTGCTGTTGTTGAATATTTAACAAGGCTAGTGAAAAAATCGATTCATCCAAATAATTAAACAAGCCATGAACTATGTGTTGTACATTTTAACCAGCTGTTGTCCAGACGTTGTTTCACCAAAAGTTATCATGTGTTGACAGTGAAAGCGGTGGCTATTTTCTCTTCTGATATATATATATATATATATATATATATATATATATATATATATATATATATATATATATATATATAACAGATAATTGAAGAGGATTTCACACATTTTGACCTCTCATGATTTGTTTTCACCATTGTTGACTATCAAGCATTCTTATTTTGCGCATTAGTAAAACGATTTTACCGCAGTACTACTATATCATTTTTAAGTTAACTGACATGTTGTATCACCTCCACCTTTTAATTAGGTTATTATATAATAATAATATTATGGGATATCTTTATTACGCACACTATTTAAATAGTTTATAAAACATGTCAAAATCTCTTATTTATTGTCAGTTTGTAATTGTTCATTAGGCTGCTGTTAAATAAAAAATCCGGAGTAACAATTTTTAATGGATTCCAAGTTGTCTAGTTGAGCAGCACTGCGTAGAACGAGAGTGAGTTCTTGTGATAATACCTCAGTGTGCACGTGCACTACACACGAGTTCCAGCCTTACCCCTCTCTTCCCAGACGTTTTTTTTCGTTCACCTGGGAAGAAGGTATAAACCTGCAAGGTAAGGCAGTGTAGCATGGTTGCAAGCACGCTGAGGTGTGTGTGTGTGTTTAACCTTAGTGAGTTTACCAGCAGAAGGTCTGACTTGGCAGCTCATGAGTAATATAATAATCCATCTACTCTACTTCTACGTTCTTCCAGCGAATAAAAAAAAAAGATTATAATTATCTACTGCGTGCTGGCAGAGAAGATATATAATCAAGTACACCAGTACTTTTTAATGTAAAACATGTGTTCTGTGTGAAAACTCTATTTTCAATAAATATTTAATTTGTACTATAAATCTAGGATATATACAGTTCTGTATAGAGTATTAGAGTAAGGTTTTATTTAAGGTTCATCGTAGTACAAAGCACGTGTTTTTTTTAAGCGCGATAGGAACTCACGAGGGATCAATACGCCACTAAACATTAGTTTTCTTAATTTTTATAGCGGTAATCGAGTAGGGAAATTCCAAAGGTGACTTACCGTTCTCAAGAACGATACATCGTCTTGTTCTGATCCTCCGCCTTCGGCTGGATCCGCCATTTTGAGGTGCTAGAATGGTCTGCTGAGGTAGCAGACGATTCCTTGGAGTCTATCCGGTTTCTTTTATTTTTTGCCCAAGTCAAATCCGTATGTCAAGTTGTGTACAAGAATCTGCGATGACCGCTGAACAGGGCGAGATCGTCTGCTCATCAATAACAGACATTGCTCACTGAGCGATTCCTTGTTCGGTCATTGGTCCACTTTGTTTTTTTAAAAACTTCTTTTCGAAAGAGACGAAAGAAAAAAAAATTAGATCCGAAAGTAGTGATTTGTTTTAGTCAAAGTAACAAGGTGAGGGAGGTGTTTTGTTTAGAGCCCCACTCCCACAACCGTTGGAAATTGTGTGAGCGAGCTGAATTCTCTTCACCTAATACCGTATTTGTTGCTATATGCCACCGGCCCTTGCTCGCGCTCGATCGATGCCTCGCGTTGCGCCCGTTTCTTCCCTCGCTCACTCCGGCACGCGCTCTCACTTCATCGCGTGCATTCGCCAACATGCGCCCCTGTGCCTTACCTTTGTGTATGTTATTGTTTTAAAAAGTGAGTTACGTAAAGAGGGACGGGGATACGGAGGCAGGTTGATGTCATATTTTTGTTGCCCGCTCTAGCAAATTATAAGAGTTATAAGAGAATGTAACAAACAACGTAGCTTTCCATTCTTTATATAATTAGTATCAGATGCGATGTTCGCTTGCCTTTAACACTCAGGTAAGATAATTTGATTGTAATACACGGTGCATACGTTGGAGGAATGATGGGGGGGGGGGGGGAATATGATGGGAACACTAGGCAAATTAGTAGTCCCCCCCTAAGTAGGGCCAATATTATCACATATAGATCTAGGCGTATATCTACATATACACATACATACATAATATTATATATATATATATATATACAATTGAAGCAGACTTTTATAACAAAATGCTGTATGCAAGTCGACGGACAGCATATTTTAAACTAAATTTACTCTATTTACTTGGTGGTGCTTCGATATTAAAGTGAGCATTATATCAATCTACTTTATTTACATCATTGGGTTCATTATTGAACTTAAAACCACTTTGAGTTATTCGTTATTAATAAGTCCTAGATGATACACGTGCAGTAGCTACTGTCATTCGTCATCAGCAGGGTCTACTCGACCAGATAGACGCGACAAATCCGCGCAGACCCGCGAAGGTTGAGCTCATTAAATTCGGTAACAACGAAAGAGCATCTTGATAGCCACACGGCGTGTTGTGTTCTGATACAAACTCCAGGCATTGGATCGGCGTTGTGAATGCTTAGCATAGATGTGGATATTTTCAGTGGTTGAGTTTAGGGGTTCATACAAGGTATTGGGCCTTGGGGGTGTTACTTGGCTGTCCATAAATGAGATCACACTTATGGGGTGGGAGGTTAGGAAATTTGACTTACGTCGCCCTACTGCATATTTATCAAGACAAAATTATTTTTTAAATAAATTACCCTTGTGTAGGGTGGTAGTGGCTGAAGAGTACTGAATTATGACATTTTATGGGGAGGGGTATGATTTAATGCAACGTGTAAAGGAGGTTGGGGGATAGGTATGATTTTTTGTAATGTGTAAAGGAGGTGGGGGGGGGGGGGGTAGGAATTTTGGTTACGTGTAAAGGAGGTGGGGCGGGAGAGGGTCCGATTTTTTGCAACATGTAAAGGTGGAAGGGGGTAAACAGTTTCTACAAATTATGACTTCATTTATCAACATTCCCCCCTCCCCCACAGTATATAACAGGCAACTGTGAAATTATTACGTTTGGTTATACAACAGTTTGACACAAATCAGATTGGTTTTTAAATTATAAACAGTATCTACGTTTGTAACCTCTCAATGAAATTTGTGTTTTTGTCTCAGCTTTTTTTTAAAAACTAAATCTTATTGAGCCACCGTTTGTTGTCTGTTTGGTATTAACATTGTTTCATTATGAAATCACCTTGCAATATTATTTTGTCTCAAATGTTTTGATGTAGTTTTTAATAGATTAAAATACAATTGAAATCTGCCAAGCAATTCTCATATGGGTCAAGGTCACCAACAGGACATTGACTAGATATTTCTGTTGACAACTGGACAGGATCAGAGTTTCTTCCAAAAAGTCTACCGCCCCCGAATGAAATTTATAAAAAATATATACTTTTAACAGTGTCCCCCCCCCCCCCCCCGGGAGAAAAAAGTCTGGAAGAAACACTGGACAGGATGTTGGTGCATATTGACCCTCACACTTTTCAAATGACCAGCTGAGCCAGATATCTAACCAAAATATTTGTAGGCCTACACTTCTGTGTGTTCAGTAGCATGTTAATAAATGTGGATGTTACTTCTTAAGTGTAACAAAAACAATGCCAAGTCCAACAAATACAAAACACATTCAAAGAAATTCAACTCAAATATTTAAAAAAAAAAATTACTTTTTTTCACTTTAATTGACAACATCTGTATTCCTCTTCTAACAGTAAACAATACTGCACTGTTAAGACATCTACAAGTACAAAAATACTGTAGGCCTACTTCTAGTGCTTAATTAAACACATATGGATTTGTATACATTGCTTTACTTATAAAGCTTATTAGCACTGATTTAAAAAAAAAACAACAGCATTCTACTGTCCCCTGACAATATATACAACAGCCAAGGGAAGCAATCTGAAAACTAACAGTTTCAATCCTTTGAAAGAAAAGTAAATAAATATCTAAACCAATATGGCCATCTCGAAACCACGTGTAATCTAAACAAATATTTTTACCAAACCATATTGGCTAATAGTGGAAGACTATTATTTTACTTTAAACTCTTACAACACAAACAGAGAGACTTATACATGACTAGAAATACAACCAGAAATATTAAATATCATTGCACAAGTGTAAACTTTGTAAACTTATATGTAATAGTTTATAAATTACAAAATGAAAGTAGCATGATTCATTATAAATAATATGTATATTTATTTTAAACAACACTAAAACCTTCACATAATTTTGTAAATAAAATTAGTGAAGGATGAATACATGTTGAATATCACACAGAAATGACTGACACGTGAACACTAAAATATTAACACTAAATCACAGGGTAATAGTGTATAAAACATGAATTCACCATAACAATACCAAACTAAAGTATCAATTTATACAGTTTAAATATGAATTTGATTTTTGGCATCTTTTTATACTATTACAAAACAATAGAACTGGCAAGAGTAGCTAAATTGGACATCGGCAATAACAATAGAAGCAGATTTGGCCATTCACTAACAAGACTAGAAGAACACATTGCCAGGCATTGATCACAAGTTGATCTGATGTAGTTAAACTCTTTACCAACATGCTTCATTAATGTTTGGTGCTTCATCAACTATTTGTTTTTGGAAGATAATAAACCTGTTTTATTTATACAACAGTGTGTCATCAACTATCTTTGAATAATTGTTTCTAATTATTCTAGAATTATTCTAGAATAATATCATGTATTTTTTACATACTCGGCTTATCCAAGGGTACATACTCAGATCTTTGGCCATGGGGAAATAAGCACTTTACAAATGTATCACTATATGACACTAACAACCCTCTAATACATCAGAGACTTTTAACAAAAATGAGTTTGCTGAATGTATAGACAATATAAGCTAAACCCGTAAGTGAGATTCATTATCAAATACAAATTTTAGAACGATTTCTGCATGTTGAAATAGTTTCAGACAACATAAATTTGTGGCAGAAGATTCATAATCACTGACAGATTTGAGAATGATTTCTCCGTGTTGAAATAGTTTAAGACAACATAAATTTGTGGCAGAAGATTCATAATCATTGACAGATTTGAGAACAATTTCTCCATGTTGAAATAAGTTTCAGACAACATAAATTTGTGTGGCAGCAGAAGACTGCACCTCAATCTGGCCCAACTTGAACTGAATTCTTTTCAGCCAGGAGAGAAGAATGGATGAGTTGAAAGATGTCTGGTCTTTGGTGGGGTGGGGGGGTTCCCAGTTCTGGCAGTTCTGTAGCCTCACCTGGAGGTGGCCTGGCAGCTAAAATATGGGGTAAGATTAAGGTAGGATAATCTAAGGCAGGAGATTAAGATACATGAAGTGATCAGGTAGGTAAAAAACAGATTAGGCATGACTGTTTTGTAAAAAAAGTAATTGAAAATTGTAACCAAAGTTATACATAAAAGTGCCTAGTAGTTTTTATGATAATACTTATGACATGATTAACTTCAAATAATTGTCTAACTAAAAAATTCTCATTTATTATATAAAATAGTTATTATATAAAATATGTTATGTGGGGGTGGTGGTAGTGGTGGAGGAGGTAAGGGGTGAATTTAGTAAATTAAAAGATCTCATTCATTAAAAATCTCTAAAAGAATAGTTCAACTAAAACAAACATGAAAATATGATTCTTATCAAGACTAAATAAGAAAATAAAAGCCTAAGGCAAGCAATGATTTCAAAAGGTTTTAGTTGTTTCCATATGTATGTACCAGTGTTGAATGATGTTGTAAGAATTCAATGTAACAAGAAGGCCAAACTTACCTGAGCATGATAGGCAAACAGTATGGAGGTCCACATGGGAAATAACTAGGGGGAAAGATACAGTTTTACATGAAACTAAAACAATGTTTAATAAAACTACACAAGATGGGTATATTCCTACATTAGTTCACATTTTCTGTGTGACACAGTGTGAATATAGCAAATGGATGTATTTTGGTCGTAAAAGTAAAGTAGTAAAGTTCCCTTTTCAAATCTGATGGTCTATTGGGCAAGTGAAGTAGAGTTCACTTGTTCTTGCATATGAAGAGATAGTGTGGTCAGCACTATACTGACTTGAACCCAGATTCGAACTCGAGACTTATGGGTTAGCAGTCCAGCTCTCTACTGCTAGACCACTCCGTGCCACATTTTGGTCGTATAACAACAAATATTTCCAGGTAGTGTAAAACACTTCTACTTTTTAAAAGAAAATCTCAAACTGACCTTGGCTAGCACCGAAGAATTGCACTCCTGGAGGGCTTCCATCAAACCAAGAAAGTGCAGGTTCACCATTTCTGCAAGCTACAATCACACAAATGGATCAGTATTTTAAAAAACAGCAATTAAATAAGCAATTAGTAAAGTTTATGATATCAACTACTCACTGTCAAATATTCTACTACATACATGTGGTTAGCTATTTACTGTGTTATGTTAATTTATTCTAATTAGAATGAAAAATAAAATAAAACAATGCTCTATAATGTAATCTACAGAAAAATTAATTTAAAAATAGTTATTGCTAAAAATAAAATAACAAACTATGGGTTAGTCTTTTATGAGGCGGTTTTCTGCATTATAAAACTAAAACTGATCTATTTAATTAATGTTAATCTATTATCAAACTACAATAAAAGAAAAACAAAATATTAATTTATAAATATTTAAAACCTGTTGGGATATAAGGCAGCATTCAACCAAAGGTTAATTTTGATTTAGTTAGTATAAAATAACCCTAAGTACATATATAAAAATTAGCATGCTTGGATCTTAATAAATTGATATAGAGTGGGTCAGTTATAAATATGTATTATAATAAATGATATAGTTTACCATCAAAGTCATGTATACAAATTTATGCAGGAATTATTGTATAAGTAATTGCTATTTTTAAATATGAATTTAAAAAGTGCAATATTATGACAATCATTACGATTCATTCACACGCATCAGATACAAAGGAAATAATTTAAAGAAAAAAAGACAATTATATAATGTGCAAATGTGATGTTCCCAAAATTCTAAACTACCATTCTCACTTCTAGGCCAACCATGCATGCTAAATATTCATCTAACATGGCGTGTAACTGGTCAAGTGAGATTTATGGCAATAATAAAGTAGTTATCTGTGCAAAAAAACTGTGATAGAATGCATTAGTGTGTAGCATGTGAGAAAAACATCAAATACAAATGCTAGTCTAATAAAAACACTAGGATAAAAAAATTATGAAGCTTAAGTGCTCTATATGAAATATATAACAATCATGTTATTATACCAGCTGATTAAAATGTAGCACATGTAAATGTAGGCAAGTGTAAAAAATGTTTGGCTATGTTGGAACATTTAGTGAAATTCAAGGGAAATAACTCATAACTTTAAAAATAAAACCTGATTTGATAAAATAAATATTTTTTTAGTGGATTTAATTTTAAAAAGGAAACAGGAAGATATTAAAAGTAAATTATTAGGACCAGAACATGACAAAAAAAATGTGATTCACACAAATCAATTTTAGAGTAAAAATAAATGAATAGCAAATGGTGATAAAAAATTATCAGTAAAATTAAAATTATTTGAAAAAGGTGGAAAATTGGAAACATTTGGAACAACTATTGTTTACTTATAAACCAACTTTGCTGTCATTACCAAGGCCTAGTGGATTAGCTGGATCCCACACCAAGGTCAAATAAAATGCAATGCTGTGAATGATTTACAATAAACCTACTATAGCTCAGAAAAACAAACCAATAAAGAAAGTCATTTGTGGCACTTTAAAATTACTAAGGCTAATATTCTTTGGTTAGATTCATTTAAAAAAAAATAATGAGTAAATAGGAAATTAATTTTTTTTCATCAAATTTAAGCATAGGCTAAAAAACAAGAAAGAATGTGCATTTTTTCATGCCTATTTAAATAAGCATGCTGACTTTCACTTTCACACTAAATTTTTTTAGTTGAAGTTAATAATTGGAAACATAATTAATTTTATCATTCTATATGAGTATATGAGACATATTTAAAAGACAGATCCAGTAAATAAATGAAAATAAAAAGTTGTAATAAAATAGGCCAAGTTTGTCAAAAATAAAAGTTGTAGAGCAGAAGCCAGGATGAGCTCATAAAGTTTGTTGTATGATTTGTTGTACAACAATGAACAACTATGAGCTAAAGTAAATAAAGATCAAAATGGGCACAGTATCCAAACCTCTAAGGCTGGCTTATCCTTTCACAGATGACAGCAAAACAAAAATAAGTTGGTGGGAGGGGGGAGAAATAAGTTTCTTTAATCTGGAAGTTTGTAAAAGGCATGCACAACTTCATACAATCAAATTGGCATCAATTTTATACAGATTTTTAACTATTCAACACAGTTATCAGTTTCATGATTTCAATCACTAGAATAAAAAAGAAACAACAATCAAGCAAAATTATTTTTCTGTGATGTCAATGATCACTGGTCAACAAGCAAATAAAAATGAACTCCAACCCTTTCTGTACATCACATTTCTATTCAACAACTGTTTTACTAATTAAAAATAATTTGACCATAGTAAAAAAAAAAAAACATTCAATTATGCAGGACATATTTACAAGTAAAAATTTTAAATGATCATTATAAACATTATAGTATTTGCAAAATCTAGATTTTTGTAAAGAGTCTCCTAGATAAAGATACCACTTGTTCACAAACATAATTTGGAAACTGACAAATCCTTCTATGTATTTCAATATTGACTAACCATTTTCCACTAAAATTTCAACAAGTTTAGACTCTTACTTTATCTACTATACCCGAACTAGAAATGGCAAAAATTCCACATGTTCTAAAACATCTGACTTGAATCTTAGTCATGTTTTACTGTGTAGGCTTTACATGTAAGTAGTCACATTATTAAATGGATGTACTGGAAAATGTATCTTAACTAATATCTTGATTTGAAGTACTTGGATGCAAAAAAAATCAGTCATCCATAAAATTTCTCCTAAAAGAGCATCAAGGTAAATCTTACCACTTTAGAATGAGACAACAGCTGTAAGATCCCAGGGGTAACTCTGGCCCAGAAGTCCATTATCATGGCCGAGGCCACTTGGTGTTGTTCACTGCCAGGTGAGTGGAGGGCAGCAGCTGATTCACTGTACATGGTCCACAGCTGTTTAGTTGGTGGGTGGGTGGGTGGTTTATGAGAAAATAATAAAACAAGCTTTATTGACAGCTTTAAAATGATTTGACCAATAAATTAACAAAAACCTAGAAAATTTTCATGAAATTCGGGCTTATAAAAAAAACTATAATTGGAAATAAATAATACAGAAGAAATAAAATAAAACGTATGACAACAAGTGATGTAAAATAAAATGATAGATACAATTGTTGTGAAAGTTTAAATTTCACTAAAAATGTAAGAAAGTGAACTTGATTACGTCAAGTTGAAAGAGAAGAAAAGCTTACCTGACAAAGAATAAATGCATGGAACAGTGAGGACATGTGTAAGACAGACGCCTGTGGGGGAGAAAGCAAATTTTATCCTCAATTTTATTCAAACTTTCATGATGGACACTAACAATAAAATTATTTAATATCAAATAGTAGTGATGTAGAAGAAAAATGACTCACACTGGACTGTTCAGCAAAGCCAGTCATAATGACCATGATGTGGTCAGAGATGTGACAACTGGCCTCCAGTGGGATGGGCAGACATGAGATGGGTGCTGCTCCCTCTGTGACTGCTGTGTGAGTCAGGGAACCAATCAGAAGCCAGGACATAAGTCGAATGTGTCCAATGCAGTCTATGAATTCTTTTGGACTGTAAAATAGTTAAGCATTTTAGAGTCATTTCATTACTAAATTCTCCAAATATCTATATTTCACATTTCCAAACAAATATTGATTTCAAATTCAATTATGTATAACTGAAAGTTTTGCATTGAAAAATTCAAGAAATGAATTAAAGGCTAGGTATGTTAGGAGAGTTCCTATTTAACAGTGGAGCCACTGAAGTATTGCACTCACCCTTGCTGCATGGCGGAGGGTGGGTGATAGAGCCACGGCAGGTATCTGGTGATTGACCGGTTGTCTCTGCCATTGCCTCTGGTGATCTCCAGGGAAAGGTACTGAGAGATGCCAGACTTGAGCTGACTGCCCAGTGTGTCTTCATTCAGGCTGGCCCCAGCTACTTTCATGTTCGTCTGCATGCAGAGTAAAATCAAACAAAAGTTATATTTTATTTTTAACACTGGATAAACAAAATAAGGGATATTATTTACTAAAGTAACATCGAGGAAAAATGTAATTAAATATTCCCCAGGTAAGGGAGCAAATAAACTTTTAAAGAGTCACAGACTATAAATATAATTGGGACACTTGAAACAGATTCTTTTATTGGCAAAATATTTACTTGTGTTAGATTATTAAAATAAACAAGTTTAAAAAGTTGCTAACATTCAGTTGCTGAATTTTAAAATTTAATAAATGAATTTAAACAAGCATAAAATAATTAGATACTAAGGTACCTAATAAAATTCATCAAGTACCTTAATTTTGGTGATTGTGTGCAAGTCTGCAATAAACTCTAGGCAGTCATTGAGATGTTGTCTCATTGCCTCAGCAGCGCAGGTTGTCACCATAGACGGGGACTGGGAACTATAGAGTGTGTTTGTTTCTGTAGCTGTGGCATTGTACAAGGACAGGGTCCCTCCTGCATCCAGCACTACAAACTAGACAAGTGAAGGGGATCTTAGCAAAAATACATAAATTAGGCAATACAGATACTAGAAATTAAAAATAAAGAGTGAGTCCGGGTCTATTTAATGTTTATCAGGAAGTATAGTATGGAAAGTTTGACCAGGAAGTATAGTATGGAAAGTTTGATCAGGAAGTATAGTATGGAAAGTTCGACCATATATTATTGAAAGTTTCAGCTTACTTGCACAAGTAGAAGAAGGTTCTCATCTGGTATGCTGGACTTAAACTTGAGAGCTTGAACCAGTTCATAGATGACTGTACGTGTCAGGAACATCTTGTCTCTCTCCTACAGGACATAGTTTTTTTATTAAATCAATTGAAGTAAACCCCTCCTCTGCACATACAAAAAAATTTATTTTATTTACTCAAGTTCAGTAAACCCATTCACTGCACATAACAAGTTCAGATCCTGGGCTTGAGACTGTAGGACAACCCTGAGCCTGCACAGCCTTGGTGATTACCTGACTCACATTAGGGATAACAAGATGGCTGGGCGTAGTGCTGACCACACTATCCCCTATTAAACAGATGAACTTCGCTTCATGTGACCCATGTGTTTTAGGCATGAATGGGAAAAGGTAATGACTACAGGGTTTTTTTTTTAATTGCAAAGTCAGTAAATCTTTAAAAAATAGTTTCAGTGATTTGAATCAAATGTAACAGCTACAGCTCCTTGTCAACATAAAGTAAACATGCTCAGTGCCTACCCTTGTCAAAGCTCTGTTACACAAAGAACAAATGTCCAACAGCTGCTGAAGTTTGAAGGTACAGTTCTGTATAGCAAAGCTTAGAATTTTAGAAAATGGCTCCAGTATACTCTGAAATAAACCAATGCACAGAGTGACATGAAATTAAATACAAGAGATTTCTACTTAAAGTATGTTTGATGATTTTTGTTTACATTTTCTGTGTACACCCAAATTGTTTTAGCTTTTTTTTAAAAATGTGTTTAGTTACCCAAAATACTGAAACATCAAATACATACATCTTTGGTAAAGTCTGTCAAACTTCAACCAGTCAGATTTTTATAACCATATTTATAATAACATCACACCAGATTTTAAAATATTTAATAAGCCATTTCAAGACTATTGACTGCCATCCCCAATAGTTTACTATTATTTGATGCAATTAACATGTTGATTATACTTAATAGCTGTAAATGCCCCAAGAAATCAACATACCCTGACATTTCCAATGATGTAAACTTTAAGAAGTGTTGTTATGATTTTCATAATGGGTGCCATATCACAAGGGTTGGGCAGCACAGTTGGCAGACGGCGGAGGAAAGTGTCAAAGTGAGTCAGGATGGCCGTCCACATGGGCAGAGGGCCTTCAAGGGACACACAGTTCAGGTATGTGGAGATGTTATTCATCAGCAACATGATGGTGTCTTGGGGCAAGTTCTTGCGTTCATTCAAACCCTGGGTGTTGAAATGTAAACGTTGGAAAGGAATTTAAGGCATGGAAACAACTATCTAACTATTCAAGACAGTTGCTAATCTTCTAAAATGTGGTTACAAATAGGGCTGGTAAGTAGGTCACCAACCAGTTCTACGGCTCAATGAAACCTGCATGAGCCATAGAAATGGTTGGTGACCTACTTACCAGCCTTATTGTATAATCAAAGTAGGACTAACTTCAAGCAAATACTGAAGAGGGGCATGAGAAGGGAGATCACTGAAGTCTAAAAGGGCAGCTGCCATGGTTTTCCAGAAGTGGGGGTCTGAGAAAAATAAAAACAATTCTTAAGACATGGATGTACTAATAAATAATTTAAACAACTATTTCCATGTTATTTAAAATAACAGGTAAAAAAAAAATTAAATTCAACAATTTCCCTCATTGTAAGAGAGTTGACACACCTTCCATGTTACTTTGAAAAAGCATGGGGAAGATCCCATTGGGTGCAAGCTGATGTAGAACACAGCGGATAAACTGTCTGGCTATGCTGACACAGTTGCCAGGTATGATGACATTACTGGTTGGTTAAAATAGAACGGATAAGTTAGTCAGACTTAATATAAATTAAAAATGATTGCACAATGAATATAAGACTTGTTTATTGTTATATTTTAGGTAAAGATGAAAGACAAATAAATACTTTGACTACAATTCTGAAATATCTCCATAAAAAAATCCTTATCTATCAATTAATCCAGATATAAACTCCCAACAAATAAAACCCAATCAAAAACATCACACACTATATAAACAATGCCTTACCTTTCAGCTTGCCAGGAATAATGGCTGCCAGATGCAATCCTGAAAAATAAAAAATAATTTAATTCAAAGCTCAAGTTAAAAAATAATTTAATTCGAAATTAAAGTCTAAAAATATTTGTACAAATTATTTTTTCTAATCAATAACTTTTCTTAGCCTATAGAAAAATGTATCACAATAGATCCTGACCTGGCAGCACACTGCAGCATATCCAAGAGTTTGGGGGTGGCCAGGCCAGGCTCACGATGCACAAATGTTGCCAGATTGGTAATACACAGGCCAATGGTGTCATCATCGTACTGCTCCAGCACAGCGTTGCACTCACTGCATCGCTCCACCATCACGTTCTCACCATGTCTGGTTGCTGTAGCTTTCTTTGTTGTCTGCTGTTTGGCCAGTAGTTCTGCCTTGCGGGATTTACGCCTGCCAACAGCATTTACACAATTTGTTAAGCAATGTATTATAATTATCAGATTTAAATCTACCATAGGAGAATAATGTAACAAATTAAAACACTTGACCAGTTTCTCACATACCCTGCAGGGCGTGACACTGGACAGGTTTCCTCTGTTGGATGTTTCTCCTCTCTCAGCTCTGGAAACTTTTTTTGGAAGTCAATAGTTGTCAGCCCTGTCTTGCGAGGTCTTCTCTGTCTGAAGTTTGGTTTCAGCACAGGGCTCACCCTTTTATCTGCTAGTGTGTCTGCAAGAGACAAAATAAGACTCAAGAATGTATAAATATTCTTTGGATGCATAAATAACAAGAGTTGAATATAAAATAAAATTAGAGAAATTAAAGTTGAAACTAATACTAAATATGGTAAAAATATTTTAAAATTAGTCATTAAAGTACATAAAAAAGTTACCTCCCTCTCTCTTATGCTAAAAGTTATCTACCTTTGTGCTCCTCAGAGGCAACATCTCCAGCAGAATCTCCTTCACTGGTCTGTGTCTTGTCACTGTCATCTGATGTATCATCAGAGGCTCCTTCACGACTGTGGTCAGATGTTGTCCCATGTTCTCTGATTGCAAATAATAACTTATGCACATATTGGAAATTAAAATTTTTTTAGAAGTTTATAAATTAAAGCAAGTCAGGTTAGGTGACAACACAATCCCTTCAGATGGTCAAGTTAATTGGAAAATGATAAACTTTACTTCCTGGAATACAATGTTTGAAAGGATAGCTAAGATACAATCTACTGAGAAACTTAACTTCTAGAAATACAAGGTTTGATAGGATAGCTAAGATACAATCTACTGATAAACTTAACATCCAGGAATACAAGGTTTGATAGGATAGAAAAGATACAAAGCACTGATAAACTTAACTTCTAGTAATAAAATGTTTGATAGGATAGCTAAGATACAATCTACTGATAAACTTTACTTCTAGAAATACAAGGTTTGAAAGGATAGCTAAGATACAATCTACTGATAAACTTTACTTCTAGAAATACAAGGTTTGAAAGGATAGCTAAGATACAATCTACTGATGAACTTTACTTCCAGGAATACAAGGTTTGATAGGATAAACTTTACCTCCAGGAATATAAAGTTTAAAAGGATAGCTAAGATACAATCTATACTTATAAGCACACACCTTGATCCCTCCGTGGTAGCACTACTGCTGGTGGCTACACTGTGTGAGGGTCCTGCCATGTTCACCTGGCTTGTGGGAGGGCCTGCCATTGGCTGACTGGAGGATGACACTGTGAACTCCCGCAACTGTTGCGCCATTTTTTTGTCAACTGACACAGGTGCTTTGTTCTTCTGTGACAACAGTGGTGCATCACTTCTCTCAGTCTGGTCAGGGTAATCAAAAACACTAAATTACCATCAGGGTACACAAAGTTACCATCAGGATACACAACTCCATTATACAGTAAAAACTACTTAACTATGTTGTATAAAACCAACCAATAGTTTCCATTTGATCAATAAAGTTTGTGTGGGATAACAAGGATTGCCAGTTCCACCCATAAATAAATCTTTGGTTAACAGAAAAAAAAATCCATGTGATATTCCTAGCTAAGTTAAAGCTTTAAAAACATTTTCAGAATAAGTTTAATATTCTTCTTCAATGTGAAAAAAACCCAACAGAAATACATTTCCTAGTTATTTCAAACACATGGAGTTGTATAAGAATACATCTAGACCAATATTTGCAGTAAAATAGCTTTATCCAACTGATTTAAACTAACATACATTATCCTTTGAATCATCATCAGCTGAATCAGGCTCAGAGTACTCTATCAGTCTTCTGGGTTGTCTCCCCTTCATTTTTCTTGATCCCTCTTTCCTGGCTATCACAGTGGTAGAGGGAGTGCCTTCAGAGTCTGACACAATCCCTTCACTGCTGTCTGCACCATCTGTGTGTCCTTGCTAAAGCCAGACAAACATACATAAAAACATTTATGACTAAAAGTATACAAAAATCATCATTATACATTTTTAAGTTAAACTGAGTAAAATCAACATTGATGTTTATTCTTAAATTCTTATATTGTAAAATTCAGATTCAACATTCACTGTACCGTTAAAATTTTGTTTACATTTTTTATATATAAAAAATTCCATTTTAGGAATCAATTTAAATAACTCAATAATTTTAAAAGAAAATAAATTGTTCATTAATTGTCATTTAGGCTATTAATTATATTTAATAAAGAAAAATTAAGCCAACCTTGAAATAATGGACAACACTTCCAGTGGGATGTGACCTGACCTCAACAGAACTCATGTCTCCATTGTCTTGTTTTTGGCTAGAGGGGGACTGTGGGGGTGTATCTGTCTCCTGAATGTTTTCAAGGTCACTGACAGAGATTTTACTGAAATCTGAACATAGTAAACCATTTAATAAATTGGCATATTAATTTATTTATTGAGAATAAAAACAAGCAATGTAAAACATTATGCATGACTTAAAATAGATTTGAATAACCGTACTTTAAAATATGTTTAATAGTATTTTGGTGTGGAAAAATGTATCTGGCTATTCATATGTTTTTATTTTAAGCAATAAATGGAGAAAACAGTTCCCATAAAAAAGTCTATGGTGGTCTATATAAAATGCTAAAGCATACGGACATCTCTAAGCTTAGCTTACTTCTTTGTACAGTTGGTGTTGGAGGCTGGAAGCCATCTTCTGTTTTCCTGCACCGGTGATGTTGTGCATCAATAGTGTTGATGACCAGCTGGACAAGGGTCTGGATGATTGCCGACCGTGGGGATGTGCTAATCTGATACTATTGTTTAAAATATAGAAATTTTTAAAACATTATTTAAATATGCAAACTTATTTTTTTTTTTAGCTTTTCACTTAATTTAATTTAGTAAATTCCATAGCTACAATTTAAAAAAATGGTTGCACCTTGTATAAAATAACCAGTAAAGACTTGAGCCAAGAGACTCTGGTATGTGGCTCTAGGTACCACAGTGTGTATGTAGGAGGCTGGTAGTCTGAGGCGTAACGCTGAGGGGAGGGGCAGTACTGCAGGACCAAGAGGGTTATGGGAAGGATGACATATCCCAGCTTGAAGTTCCGGTCTAAAACCTGAGTTCAATTTTTAACGAAACAATTTTGATCACTGATCTCAAAATTACCTCACAAAATGAAAAATACTGTTTAAATATAATGTGATGTAATTAAAAAAATAATTCTTAACCATTAACAATCATCCTATTCGATAAATACTTTTAGAAACCAAATTTAAATTGTCCATATAACCATGTAGATTTGAGATTTAACTGATTTAAATATTTTGATATTTTTTATTTAAATAATCATCGCTGTTAGAAAAATATATTTTTACATAAATAATACTTACATACATAACACCACTCAGGAAGGCATTGAACACTGCTGAACATCTGTGGACAACAAATATTGCCTGAGATCACATGTATTTGGGTGTTATGCTTTGGTTTTCTATTCCACTCACCTACTAAATCAACACCCACACTATTTTAAGTGTTATTCTCTAGTTATTTATATTACATTCACCTATTAAGTTGATAATACACAAAATTTAAAATCCAGTACTGTCTATTCCATTGGCCTACCAAGTCAATAGCCAAAAGATGCCAGGCAGAAGGTAGAGGTTTAAACCAACCTGAGCTTAAAAGGTGGGACACTGAATGACTTCTCAGTCTGATTGTAGCCCAGCAGCACGTTCAGGTGTCTCAGGACAATATTTTGTGACTTGGTGTCAATGTGGGGGGCCCCCTCTTCACTCTCTTCATTTTCATTACAGTGGACCATGAACTGGAAGTGTGCATGCAAACAAATTAATTCTGGGAAATATAACTTGGAGATGTGTACTTTACAGACTGTTTAAAATTTAGTTGAGAAATGAATAAATTTACATAAAGAATCTATGTCTTCAAAAAAAAACTAAATAATATAAGAAACTGAAAGTAGGGATGAAATATAACTGGAAATGAAGTAATCCTCAAAGTACTGACCATGACAAGGGAGATAAATTAGCTTTCATAAGATACAGATCATGAAAAGGAAGATAATTTTTAAGTTTCATAAGGTGCTGATCATGAAAAGGGAGATAATACACAGAAAGAACAGACCATGATACAAATACAAGAGGGAGTTTACATAATAATTTGCCGAAGAAAATGAGGAATTAAAGCGACTAAGAAACTGACTGTCATTAGAAGAGAGACCAGCTGATAGACTGTGTCCCTATCAACACCCTCCAAATCCATGGCTCTTTGTAACAAAGCTGCAAAGTTGCTCTCTTCATCAGTGAACTCTCTCAGCTGACCACCTGTGCAGTAAGAAACCAATTACATTTTCAAACAAGAATACACCTCTATGTCCATCATTTTGAAACACATATATCGCTATACATTTTAAAATGCCTTTCAATAAATGACAAACAAGTGAAAATAAACAGCATCAAGTATAAGTAAGCTATTACAAAAGTTTATTATTGATATTATCAATTATGCTAATATTTATTTCTTGATTTTAAAAAAGTTTGATACATTTTGTCAAACACTTCTTTTGATAAAGCATGGGTTTTATTATTATCAAACAGATAAAACCACTTTAAAATCTACCCTATGAATTCCTAGAGAGAAATTTTTGAATACACACCCACAAAAAGGTAAAGGGAGGAAATTTACCTGGGAACATGGAGGAGCCGAAGTTACCAAGGTTTAGCTTTGATGGCATCCTGCGAGGGAGGCTAAACTGGGGAGCTGACCACTGTCTGACACAAGACTTCTCCTTCTCCACTGTTGTAAGATTAACAAAATCAAAAGATTTATCTATTTTTTGGTCATAGTATAACATGTATTCCATGAGGATTCATTATTTTTTTGAAGACAATCTGCAGAATTTTTAGCTGTTTGATTTTTCAACACCCATCAATACATTTTAAAATCATGGAAAATCTATTTGCAACTAAAAGTAAGGTATACATTATGTTTTCATATTTTAAAAATGTAATATCTTTTTCTATTCAGAGTTTTGTAAGAGCAAAATACAAATGCATTTTTTTAAAACCAAAGATATTAAGAAAAAAAAAGGGAAATTGAAAAAAAAATGTATGCTTAAAAAGTTGCAGCTTCAGTTAAGATGTTGTGTTAAGATTTTATTTTAAAAAATACAAGGTAAAACTTGTAATGCTGGGTTGAAAAAGAAGAAAAAATTTGATTGGGCAAAAATTGACAACAAAGGGAGATAAAAAAAGTGCAAACACGTGGACTGTGTTTAAAGTGCTTGAGGGTAGTGGTCAAGCCACTTGGGTCAACTGTTAAAGAGATAAATATAACAATAATTATTTGTATGTATGCCACAAAAAACTTGCATTGTATTCACAATGAAGATAATATATTATGTCCCATTATTTCCACAAAAGTATAAAATATTTTCAAGTATTTATTTTAAACATAAAGTTTTTTAATATTATTTAACCTTCACTGTATGCCATTATTTACCAGCCTATGCATATATTGTGGGTGGAATTCACCCTTTACATTTAGATTGAGGAAACAATGGAGAAGATAGACACAAAGCTCAAATAAAGCCTACCTGAGTGCTGAAATGGTATATTATGGTGTGTTAGAAAAATACCACACATTTATCATATTGGTATGCTTAAAATTCATCCATTGATGCTGTCACCCATATACGAGTTTTGTCTCTTTTGTTATGGTCAATGATAAGAAGATGGGGGTGGGGGGGGGGGGGGGGGGGAGGGTGCTAAAAGTGTGATGTAGCACACTATCTGGATTTCTTAAGAATAAACATTATTGGGGATGGTAAGATAACCATAATCTAAAATGTTATATAACTTTGTAACTACCACCATTTCATTTAAATGGTTTCTTTTGCCAAGGTAAGACATTTATGTATCACAACCTGAAAAATCTAAGAGCCATACTTATTTGGTTTGGTTTTGAATAAATAGTAAAATTGCTATGCTTTTGCTAAAAACGATTGATTGAGAACATTTCAAATATCTTGACTTGGTAATTACTTTAGCACTCGTTTCCTAAGGTCTATGTTTTTTCCCCAGGTGTTTCCTATCCACAATATTGGCCTACTTAAAAGGTGCATATTTTTACTGACACTTAGATAATTGAAGTCAAGTCTGGTGTAAAAATGTGTGTGCCCATACAGCATGCTGGATAGTAGGCATAATAGTAAGGCCCAATACACTAGGCCAAATAATATGCATAGGGCAAAAATTTACTATGAAAAATAGGTGGTTGACACCCATGACATACGGTGAAGGTGAATTAAGTAAGACACAATTTTTTTTTTAAATTACGAACTAGAGTTTAGGTTAGAAAACAAGTTTTAGTGAAATGCAGTGAAATCTAACATGGACTTGTGCTGAAGAAGTTACTGTGGTTTACGCTATCTCAGACAGGTCCTACTAGTCAACTAATGGTCTAATCAACTAAATTAAAGGTGATCAAGTTAATGTGCTTATAGTTTGCTAATAATGTCATGGAACAAGATATGTTTACATCTATGCAAGTAGATATGTGAACACTCATTATTTGTGTATAGGTGAGGCATAACTACACATTAGATGTATTAAAAAAATTTAAAAATTTTAAACTGTGATAAAGAAAACACCTTGTGTGAATAGTTTTGAATTCCTAAAGAAAATATGTTTACACTTAATAACATTACTTACAAGCTGAATATAAATGTGACATTCACTGTAATAAAAATGTATTTACAAATAGTTACAATAAATACAGTTTATATAGTGCAAGATGTTAACACTACTTGGCTATTTGTTTCACTCTCAATTTAAAAAGTACTTATGATATAATTTTTCGTTTATATATACAAGACTCAGTGTATTTTAAACTACATTAAAATAGTGTTCAAACAGAAAATGTATTCATTAAAATGTGTCATAGAAAATAAAGTGTAACTAAAGCATGCTTGCAGAACAATCATCTGTTGCTCACATTATCTAAAGATTTATTTTTTTACGTTAATTTTTTTTTTAAATTTAAATTTGAGTACACTAATCTAATTTATTTCAAGTTAAAACTTTGAAGGAATAATTAAAAATTTGTAAAAAAAAAAAAACAATTTCTTTAAAATTTCTATATTATTGTAGTATAAGATGACACATTTTTACAAGGTTGTTTAAAAATGTCTGGACAACAAAAGATTAGATTGGTAATGGATATTAGGATATCATCAATGCTGAGGGGGGTGTGGTTTGTGAAAGTGCAACACGCCAATGAAACAGCAATCAAAATCTTCCTTACAAAGCAGCCTCTTATACAGTAAACTCTTTGAATGCTTGTCAAATATCGTGTTAACAGAATGCTCTTTGTTCTTTGAGGTTGCTGAAAAAATGCCAGAAATGAGGTTAGGGTGCCATTATGACAAACAGTCATCAGTGTCCTTGTGTTGCGCAAGATGAGAGCTAATCATTCACACTGCAGCCATCTCATGCTGTTATTTATTTAACATTAAAGTTAAAACTTGGTAGGAAAATTTCCTCAGTATAGTGGTTGTTCTCTTAAGCCATTAGCACGAGGTGAGAAAACAAATATCAACAATTGAAAAATGTGTTGGCTTTTTTTTTCCAGCATTAAATTTAAACCACTTTAGACAAGAACTGATGTTTAAGTTGATTAAATATATAAAAATATCTAATTTATTCACTTCTACTATTCTACAGTTATTTAACGATTTTTTGAAATTATTTTTATTTATAGTTTAATGATTCCTCTTTTGTAATGTATAGAAATACTGTTTTATAATTATATTTTCTATTTCGCCATTGATTAATATGCAGTTTAACACTATCAGTTTAATCCAATAAAAGCAAAATCTTTTCTACTTTCACACTTATAAAATAAAAAAAAAAATTGAATAACTGGAATAATGAGATAAATATTGAAAAGTAAATCAGTAAAATGTATGAGGCATATATAAATAGAATACAAATTAAGTAGGCAGCATATATAATAATAACAAAATTTGCATATAGTATATAAAATTATTAAAAACATTGTAGCACAATAGCACACATTAGATAGAGTTCACGCTCAAACCATTGTTCTTATACCCTTAATAAAATCAGTAATCCCCTTTAATTAAAACCTTTAGTCTTGAAACAATACTTATTCTGGGCTCTGGAATTGCAAAAAAAAATATTTTTTTCAAACGGGAGTTTAAGAAAACATACTTAAATAAAAATGAAGTTTGTAGTTCTATGCGGCTCTGCATCACAAAAAAAATCCCAACAGATATTAATGTATAGTTATTTGTTTTATAAAGTCCGAGCAAAAAAAAAAATCAGTTTAAGCCACTGGAAATTCATTACTTTAATACCTAACATCACACATTTTTTACTAACAATTTTTCTTACAAAAATATCTAGGTTTTTAAAATTTACCTAATTTGAAAAAATTTGTATGACAAACTTAAAATTAGTTTGAAATATTTAACAGTAAATAGAAAAATAACACTATTTCAGAATTGAATACATTTGATATTCTTCTTTTATAGTAATTATAGCTCTCAAATAGGTATTTTCATGCAGAAAATTGTGCATAAATCTTTGACCACAGGCAGTGGGTGAGGGACTAAATCTAAAAACAAGATATGATGAGGTCAATATTTGTATGTATAATTTAATGCACACATAATTGCAATCTTAATACAAGGATTTGTTACAAAAAAAATAAAGCACAATATTTTCTTTTTTTAAAAAAAAACAAATCACCTAAAAATGAAGTATTATGCAGACCTTGAAAAAAATAAAATTTCAGGCTGAAAATATTTTTGTAATTAGTTGTACATTATGTATCAAAACATGCACAACATAATTGTTGATTATATCACAGCTGCAATATTGTATAGTTAAAATTGTTAATGTACTTAAGATAACATGCTGGCTATATTCACATTTTAAAGATAAATATAATAAAAAAATAATGAATTAAAATTTTCCATGCCTAAAATTATTAAAGAATTTAAAAGATTTTAGAAAATCTAAATTGTGAATAGTATAAAAGACGTAGAAGTATGTAGACTTGTATGAAACTGTCACCACTACTTACAATGAGCTTGATAGGACTGATCAACTTTTGAATGAAATAAAATAGTAAGATAACAATAAGATGTAAAGTTAAAAAGATAGTACAGGAAGATTATTCAGATAGAGGTTTAAGTTTAAGACTGTTAGGCACAGATAAAAAAAGATATTTAACAAAGGTTAATTTTAAAACTTCAGCACAAAAAAAGGCCTCACTTGCAATGCCCAAAAAAATTAAGTCTAAATGTTTTAAAGTATTTTATAACACTTCTTAGTTCTAGTTGTATGTGATTGTTTAAACTGAGATGCAGCAAATTGTCTATTTTGTAAAATTATTACTTGAGAATTCATTGAAAATTTTAAACTTTAATGTATGTGGAAATATGCTTGAAGATTTCCTGTAGACTTTAAAAAAATACTCACTGATTTGTTAATGGGAATATATTAAAAAAAAAATAAGCTGAAACTCACACTTTGGTGGATTTAAGCCTTTGGTAATTAGGTGTAGGGGTACTGAAATTGCTCTCCTGTAGGGTGGTTTCCCTTTCATGCTCTGGCTAACTGATCTCACACTGTCTGTCCTAGCCAAAGCAAACCTGGCACGGTTTAGTTTACGTACAAAGTGTTCACTGTGTCGATCACTGCTTGTAAGATCTAGGGAAATTTGAAATAAAATCTATCAGAGTACAAAATGTATTCAGGCTAATATTTAAAATCATCATACATTTTTAAGTTAAAGCAAAATGTTTTTTGTGATAATAAAAATTCAAAATAAAAAAACTTCAACTGTAAAACTGCATTTACATTTTTTAAAAAAGGCATATTATTAATGCTCACATTATTTCCATGCATTCTCTCAAAGATCAATAAATAATTTACTTTCCCAAACAGTAAGTTTAATTTACCTATTAAATACATATATATATATATTAAGCATATCAACCTCAACCACAAAAAAGTGACCGTTTAAAAAAAGTAGATTCCCCAATTATCCAAAACAAAATTACAAGCCGACACAATAACTTAATTTACTTGCAACCTTAAGGCAAAACTTAATGAAAACATAAATACAACAAACCTCATATCAGAAAAGAAAAATTTCATCACCACAAACTGACCTGTGGGGTAAGGGATGTCTCCACTACTTTCCAGATCTACCTGCGCCTCAAGTGAGAGGGTGTCGAACCTATTCAGGAAGAACTCCCAACTGAGTATCTGCACATCTTTTAGAGCAGTCTCTAGCAGCTGCACTCTATGCAGGATCAGGGACCTGTCTTCTATTACTGAGTCAAACTGAAACTCAAGGCAGTTCACCAGACACTGAAAGATTGAAATTATTTCATAAATTATTTGTTTTTACAAAAAAAGTGAGTAGAAAATTGCTTAAAATTAAAACAATTAAAAAAAAAGTCTGCTTTAGAAATAACATGGTATGGCACTGTTTAGTGGAATACTCTACTGCAAAACCAAATGCAGTTCCAGAAATCAAATTTGTTGTTGAGTCCACCAAGCAGTGAACTAGAATTTAGGAAAGTAACAACACAATTTTTCTCTATGATGTCTATATAAAAGAAACTATTGAACCTTTTCTTAATAAAAAAAAAGGAATTCTGTATAATTAAACAGCCACACTATGATGAGATCACTGATACATAATGGAGATTTTTAGCAATGCATGAGATAAAGTTTAACAGATGATGTATAGTAACCAAACCTTAAGGGCTGCTGGCCTGATGGTTTCCAAGAACATAATTGCTCTCTGTGCTACAGCAGCATTGATGTCCTCCACAGATCCAATCAGGTGACAGAAGGCATGAGCTAAAGATGTCTGAATCACATGGTTGTTTTTGATGACTTCAGGCTCCAAACAGCGGGCTAACATGGTGACTTTTTCAACTGATGATTTTAAGTCAAGGGTAGAGAAGAATTAGTGGACAGGTTTAAGTACATCAAACAACAAGCTAGACTGACTACTTTTTCAGTCATATATATTTAAGTTTAGTATTATTTAAAGGCAATTTTAATGTCTCTTACACACTGAACAGACTGGCATAAAAATGTAGATAAAAGATTGCAAATACCTGCTGCAAACCTGGCACGCCAGTCATCGTGACCAAAGTCCTGCTCTACAAGAGCCCAGAGAATCTGAGAGCCAGTGGGCAGGGTCATGCAGTGCAGCAACAGTGGGATACACAGTGTGGCTAGCTGGGAGTGTTCTGTCTGCAGTAGTTTCCACAGGCTATGGACAAGACAGAAAACTTTTGTTTAAATAGCATCAATAAAACCTTACACAGTCATCTTTTTCTTATTTTCACTATGAAATTAATTATAGTTTATATATCAGTTCAAAATTATGACAATAAATCTTTATCTTAGCACCTGTTTCTTAAAGATCCAGGTCAACTACCCAACCTCCCTCCACTTCACACACAAAATATCAAGCTAGCTTTTACAAAAATCAACATATTTTGATTTTAATTACACCTATTACATGTTTGACTTACGTAGGGATGAATCTCTTGCGGAATGAGAAGGTGATGAAGTTTGTGTACTGGTTGATGGTGTAGTTCAGACATTCGCCATGTAGTATGAGGTACCTCATTGATGATAGCACAGCATAGAGAGCATCAACATCAGACACATTCACCAAACTCTGGGTTCATTGTAGGTAAACACAATAATTATTTTTGGTTAGCACACCATTTTTTAATTGCTAAAATTTCATTAACTACCCTGGGTTGATGAGCTATGAAGACAAACACCACTAAATTTAAAAGCTGAGTAAAGTATATATCAACATTGTCTAGAAAAACTGACCTCTAGTAAAGCATCATAAAGCTGTAGGTACATTGGCATGCTCAATATATCAAATACTGGATCCTCTTTCTCATCATCCTGGTCAATGTTTTCATCTAGACATGCAATAAATTATTCAAACATCAACTAGACAATTTAAATAATTATCAAAACATTACCTACACAAATTATCTTAACACACAAACAAGTTATCTGAAGAACATCACAGAGATATTCAACAAATTATCAAAACATCATCCCAACACACAAAAAAGTTATCTACAGAACACCACAGAGACATTTAACAAATTATTACATCATTACAGCATGAAACAAGTTATCTGATCAACTTTTTAAATAAAAGTTGTACTGTCATATAAAAATTAAGTAATCAATACAAGCTCATGACTTACTCTGAGCCTCCGTGATGGTTTGATGCTTTAGGTCATCTAGTTTTGGGAGTTCCTTGTTGGGGATCTTCAAGGGGTCACGTGGGCAGACGTGTTCCATCAGTTGGGCAGCTAGCTGGTGCCACAGGGCAATGTTCTGGCAGAAGACACAGTTGACCCTCTTCACATCAGTGTCACAGGTGTGACGGCCGTCCCATTTCTTGCGCACCATGCAGGATAGAAGCGCCATGACTTCTCTGCTTGTTTCATTGTAAATTCCAAGATGCTGGGGAGCTTCCTGCAGATCCATCTAGAATAAAACATTTCAAGAGACCAATATAGAAACACAACTTACTAAAAACGACACAAGTGTGGAGCTTCTTTATTAAAGTATAAAATTTTCTCTGTAAAAATGTGCACACAGATTTTTTAAAAACAGAATCATCATAAATAAACTATATATTTTTCTTTATTAACACTCATGGATTAGGATTTAAAAAAAAACAGTTCTCATAGAATATTTGTTTTTGATTACCAACTTGTTCTTCATTCTCAGTTGATTTGCTGGACGGGATTTCAACACAATTGAGTATTATATGTTAAACTGTTGTGCACAATATAGGCTACAATTTCAGCCTTCTTGCCTACAACAAAGTGTAAGTAAAGACTAACCTGCTTGAGGCACAGGTCCAGCATCATGATAAAACATGGCAGAACAAGCTCAGACTCCTTCTCATACAGCTCCAGGGGGTCAGGGATAAATGGGAATCTTTCAGGGCTGAGTGGGGCTGCATGTTCATGCATGGGTGAGCCTGGGGTCAGGATGGCGTGGCCGTGTACACCATCCTGGTGCAGCAGGTCAATGCTGTCTGGATCTGTGCTGATCTTGTCAACACCACACTTGAACATGCGCAGAGTCTGATGCATGGGGATCACAATGTCCAGGCTGCTTAAAATCTGGGAGAGTGAAGGAAAAAATGAAAGTAAAATAACTGTCTCCACAATGTATCATCTATCTTTTTAAAACAAAATCTGAGAGAGAGTGAAGGGAAAAATAAAAGTACATTAATTGTCTCAACAATTTATCTCATCCATCATTTCAATTAATTAGCAAAAATTGTAAGGGCTCAATGTTAATAATACCTTTCTTTTCATTTAATAGAACACTCATTGAATTTAAAATTTACTTGGTGCAACATATATTCCCTCACAGTATATAGAACAAAAACGGTTCAATTGATATTGTTAAATAATTCAAAGAGAGCAAGTTCCTACGATTTTAAAATCTACAAGTCAACAAACATGGTGCCCTACCTGCAGCCACTGAAGGGCTTGTTCCATCACAGAAGCGCTGGTGTCATCAAACCTCTCACTCACAAAGTTGTACATTTTTATCAAAGTGAAAGGGAGGGGACACATATCAATGTCAAAAGCTTTACTGAAAAAATATATAAGCTTAAAAAATATAATATGAGAATTTGATACATTTTTGAGAATTTGAAATTTATGCACAATAAACACAATACATTTGTTTAGAAAACGTTGAACACACTCTAACTTCTTTAAATACATTAAGGTACATGATATAGAGAGTGATAAAAGTTTCACCTTAATAAGACTTTAAGCTCATGCAGTTCATCGTCTGGCACCTCTGTACGGATTGCTTCAAGCCAATATGGCATCACATAATCCCAAATCTGGTGGGGGAAACAGGACATTTTTCATTTGGTTCTCTTTAAAATAAAATAAATGTATGACGAGCCTAAAATCAGTTAGACATGCTTGACAAAAAAAAAGAAATTAGTGATCAAATGGGAAGACAAACATTCATATGTTAGCTGTGTTGTCTTCACTGGAAGGCCACCACAACATTACTGACTGTAGCACATTGTTTTGTTATGTTTACCAAACTGTTAGTTAAAACTCACGACTTACCGGTAAGATGCCACAGAAACAAAAAAGGAGGTAAGTATGGAAACAGTATTATTTTCTACAAAGTGTATATAAAACTGTTAACTCTAACATTTGGGTAGGGTTTGTGTGAAAATGAAGGGAATGAAGTGGGGAATGAAGAGAACAAAATATACCTCAAATGTAATCACATCATAGGGTACTAAACAGAAAAAACAATTGAGTCCTTCTTTTATTTGAGTTGTTCTGGTACAAAGTGTGTCCCTGTAATAAAAAAATTTGTATTAAAAACTTTACAACTCCAAGAATAAAACAAAAATAATTATCCTCATTTAAAACAGAAAAAAAATGATACTATAGCCAACACAAAAAAAAAGGGAAAATTAATGTTGAAAATGTTTCCAGCACATAAGTGAAGGCAAGATTTATGAGATGTTTAATGTTACATGAAATTGTTGTATCTGTTTAAAACTAACCAGAATCCACCAACTCTGGAATATTCAACAGGATGAGGCAGGAGACACGACACAATCACCTCAAAGTGTGTTTTCATCACATCTTGTATCCAATTATAAATATACTAAACACAGAATTATGTAGAATGAAGCACAAAGTTTTTTCTCTAATTCAACTAAAATGTATCTAAAGTTTTTAAAACCCTGACAATATTTATCATTTTGCATTTAATAAACACATAATTTCCAAATATAATAATTTAAGTTAATACATTTATTATGTCAATATAACATGAATAAAACACAAGTTCACTAACCTCTGGTTTCAGTCTCTCAAGAGCATTGCCAATATTATCTTAAATAAAGAACAAACATTTTTGAGAAAAAATACATTCCTGTCATTTTTCTTTGCATTTCAACTTGCCCCAGTAATCTAGTATATTGTTATGATATGAAAGAACATGTATAACTACCATCAGGAAGATAAGCAGTTGCATCAAACCACTGGAACAACATGCCCAACAGACGTCCTAGAACTTCCTGTAAACAAAATGATAAACTTTAGTTTTTTTAAACATGTTTCTATAATAAGCTCCAAAAAAAATAAGTTTTGATCCAAAGTATAAGTAAAAAAATGTATATAAAACAAAAAAGGATGTATTTTTGAGGTTCTTATAAATATGAATAAAGCAGCTTACAATAGGTATATCTTCAGCAGGCTTGCAAAGCTCTACCAGCAACCAGATCCCATATCTGCTGAGTAGCCTCCTCTCTCCTGCATCCTCTACATCAAAGCCTTCCTCCTCATCAGCCAGACGGCGTAGGTCTTCTCCCATCTCAACCATTCTTTTTGTTCCTATTGGTGACGCTTCTTTCAACAGGCTGGTAAAAAAAAATTAAGAAAGTTACAATAAACCAAAACAAAATGAATGTGAGAACATCATAATTTTACTTGCCACTGTTATACTTGGGGGAGAGGGGAGGAGGGAGATATCCTGAACATCATAATTTTACTTGCCATTGTTCTACTTGGGGGAGAGGGGAGGAGGGAGATATCCTGAACATCATAATTTTACTTGCCATTGTTCTACTTGGGGGAGAGGGGAGGAGGGAGATATCCTGAACATCATAATTTTACTTGCCATTGTTCTACTTGGGGGAGAGGGGAGGAGGGAGATATCCTGAACATCATAATTTTACTTGCCACTGTTGTACTTGGGGGAGAGGGGAGGAGGGAGATATCCTGAACATCATAATTTTACTTGCCATTGTTCTACTTGGGGGAGAGGGGAGGAGGGAGATATCCTGAACATCATAATTTTACTTGCCACTGTTGTACTTATCATGTTATAGTTTTTGGAAGGACATTTAATATCCTACCTACCTGACAATGGCATCCATGAGGTATCTTTGAACCTCAGGCGTACAACTCCAGATGTCTGTGATACTTGTGTGGAAGATGTGGTTGGGAGAGCCACTGTTTCCATGACGACGCTCATGGCATGAACTACAGTACCTTATGGGTCTGTTGTTGTTAAAACTAGCACACTCAATAGTGAAACATGTGCACACAGCAATGTTGTGAGAGAACTTGCAGTTCTGATGGAAAAATTAAAGACAACAATTAACTAAAAGAGTTTATAAAACAACAGCACATGAAAAAAAGATACAAACACAAACAAAATAATGTCGAAACAAAAAAAGTAATGAAATATAAAAATTAGATTTTCAGCAAAAAAATGTGGATAAAACGTATGGATGTTAACAGATACAACCATAAACATTGCTAACTTAATAACATTTTTCATCATCTTCTTTTAAACAAATGCTTAAATAAAAATGTTTATACCTAAGTATTAGCTACATGTTTGTAAGCAAGTATGGCAATTATAAACCTTGTTTTCACACATTAATCATATGATGTTTGTCAGATGAACCTAGCAAGTATGGCAAGCAACAAACCTTGTTTTCACACACAGAAGAAACATGAGGCATAGGCATGAGCAGGTCCACCATGTACTCCCCATGTTCTTTCTTCAGGGCCTGTGAGCAGTCACTGCAGATGTACAGTGGTGGAGGGGAGTCTCCTGAGTGTATGGCCAGGGCTGGGTTGATGCACATCTGTAAACACACATTAAACATTTAAACACAATTTATTTAACTTTAAAAAAACAAGAGTACTAAGTAAATAATTTTTAAAGTAATTCTTTTACTTTTATTTTCAAATGGTTTACCAGTTTAAAGAGTAAATAAAATAAAAAATATTACAATTTTACAGTTAACAAGTCTGTAATATAAATAAGTTACTATTAATTTTTTTAACTGTTTAAGAAAGTCAATAAAATAAAAGTGCATGGTTTTATTGTAAATTACTAGTTTAATACTTCAAAAAGCAGTTTTTATATAATTTGGATTAATTGGTTATAAAGACTTTGACTAACTAAACAAACAATACATTTACAAATTATTTTGTTAATTATATATTGTAATTTCATTTATTTTGAAAAAAAAAACAATAACAGCATTAAAAATAAATTTTAAAAATAAATTCTTTTTATCAAATGTTAAATAAAACTACCTTTATAGCTTGGCAATTTCCTTCATTGATGCAACCTTTTCTTTGACATAATATGGCTGGCCATGCTACAAATAGTAATTTATTCAATTTTATCATTGTGAAAGTAACATTTAAAAATCTAAATATCTACCCAACATGTAGATGAACAAACAAAAACACTATTTTTACAGTTTTCTAAAAAAAGCTAGCATAAACAACTTTATACAAACAATCTAATGGCTGAACCCTGATTATCTGAGTACTAAGGGCACAAGATATAAATTTTAACTACTTTAGGCAATATAAGATTTTCACTCATTTTCATTTACAGTATAGTTGTATGTTTGTACATTGGTTTTATTTATTTACTATAATTATATAGGCACATAATGGCACATTCTATTTCTAGACTATAACAAAAATGTTTTCATCAAGTGAAACAAAAATAATGTTGAGGCTGTAGTAGCTTTACATGATGTAGAATTATTTATGGGAGGGTATTTAGACTTTTTACCTCCAATAATCAGGGTTATGCTACATTACTTGACAGCTGACATGTGACAAGGCAAGATAATACTTTTTGTGTTTGAAGTAAAGGGGTTGAACAACTCTAGTAAATACAACAGACAATACTTTCAATCATTTCTCTCAATTCAAGATTTTTTTTTTAAACTTAAAAAACACTTTGTTCTAAAGCTCTTTTTTTACCAAAACATTTTTTATATTTCCAAATCTAAACAAAATGAATTTCGGTCCAGGCAAAATTATTATTATGAACTTAGAAAACAAAGCTCTCTTTCTAATTAAAAGTAAGAAGTTTTTTCTGAAAATAACAGATAACATAATCAAGGGGGATTACTGATATATACAAGATCAGAAAACAACATATATTTATAACATTAAAAATAAAACAACAGCTAAAATATGGCTGTGAAGTTATGCTGCAAGAAAGCGGTATTTACACCTAAAGACAACAAAGTATTACTGGTTCTAAAATACCTGTGAATTCCATAGCTTAATGAAGCAAACAGGAAAAATTTTGTAAATTTTAACTAACGTGACATAAGTAAACAAATTATTTGCTCCTTTTTTTCCAGTATTGAAGATTCAAAATGCGATAATAAATAACAGCAAAATTGAATCATGTATTGAAGCTTACTGCATGTTTTTTAAAAACTGAACTTTATTTAAACTTTTTTCAAAAACATTAGTGAAATGAGACTCACCACAATATTTGTAATGTATCCCTCTTCTGTCTGTGAGTGCAGGATTCAGCTGTGGCCAGTAATAAAACAGCAGATGTGCAGCTGGAGATTTGGCAGATGGAGGTCCATATGCTATTATGCTCAAAACATCCTGGTAGGGTGACATTTTGGGAGAAAATTGTTTTTTTTTTCAACTTTGATTGTTGGTTTATGGGTGAATTGTAGGCTACTATTTTTACTTACCTTAATTACATTCTTCTTCATGCTCATGAAGCACTCAAGAATCTGAGAATGAAAGGCTGAAAAAGGGGGTTGCAGGTTAACCATAGTATGCAGAACAAAAAACACAGGTAAAGTCATTCTAAAGTTGCCCTTATGTTAGAAACATAAATAAAGCAGTTTTATTCAAGCAACAAAAATGTATAAAAATTTTTTATCCAACTTAGTAAAATAAAGTAAACTATAAAAACATGGCTCTAATTTAAAAAAACACCATCCCTTCAGTCCTCACCTCCATTTTCAGTGTGCTGGAATACCATTGTTATGATAGCTGCAGCAGACTCACTAGCATAGGTTGGGTCATCATTTATATCAGAGCCTGAAAGTAGAGACCTGGTTTTACACTTGGATTTTATTACAATGTTAGTGACAAGTGCTGATTATGTTAATCAAAATTAACTGTGTTAATGTTATGGGATTGATGGAAGAAAATATGATACTCAAGGAAAAATACAATGAGAAAACAACAGGAGATAACAAGAAAGGACTAATAAAAAATTGAGTTTGATACATTTATATTTTATATGGCTTTATACATAGGTATGTGATTTCTAGAACACTGAACTAAGAATCAACAAGGGGCAGTACTCAAACAGAAATGTGGTTAACTCCAGTGTTGATTCAGAGGTTAGTGTCCCATGGTTGAAATAAAATATAATTTAAAACACACAACAAGCATATAATGCAATCTTTCAGAAATCAATGTACATTTAAAAAATTAACAAAGTACTAAAGAAAAAATCAACAGTAAACTATACTCTTTAATTACTATTAATCTTCTTCAATTGTCTTATCAATCTTCAACATAAATATGTAACTATTACTATTAAATAAACATTGGGTTAATGTGTTATTACTGTATTCAACAACAAAAAATATATAAACCTAATGCTATTCTGTGAGTAATTCTTTCCATTTTTCTTTGTATCCTCAGTAACTAAGATTAAACTACTACCTCCCAAAAACTATACACACCAGCAATAGCAACATACCAAATTAAAAGTGTATAAATACTGCTGGTAAAATAAAATAACCACAAAAACCCCCTATTAAGAGAGTCTCTTGCTCTCACAAACTAAGGCCAAACCGACCCCATGCTGGTGATGCATGCCACCTCTGCTGTGCTCAGCTCTTCAGCTACAACCAAAACTTCATCAGAAAAAAAAATAGCACCATGCTAAAAATGAAGAAAGTGCTCAAAAGCGCTTAAATGATATTCAGTCAAAAGCAGCTTCAAATTGAAAACCAAATGTAAGCAGTTTAGACACATTAGGAACCCTGAGTGCATTATGTGGCCCTGATACACAGCCTACTGTCAGCCTAACTGGCACATTCTAAATAAGTGATACCTTGAACCATGAGTCAGGGTCACATTCACCATTGGATTGCCTTCACCTCGGATGCTAAATATGTTTTAAACCCTCTACCTCTTTTCTCCTCTCCATCACCCTTTCTTTTGGTGTACGAGTTTGTTTCCTTACTCAAGGTCATAGGAAGTAGACTTGTGCACAGCAAGTCTATGGTGTCCTTATGCAGCGTTGGTGGAAATATGGCCAGTGTGGATGCCACTGTGTAAGGTAGGGAGTCCAGAAGATCATGCTCCAAGAAAGGTACCAGCCAACCAAGAACATTCAGGACTGCTTCACCAAGAGCTGACGGAAGAAAAACAAAGAGGATATTCTCACAGAAAATGTGTAACATAGGTTTTTTCTATAAATATAGCACTAATTTTCTAATCTTTTTTAAGTAAACAGGCTTTGAATTTTAAATCTAACCTTAAAGAAATCTCTGTCCCTTATAACATATTTTAAGAAACATTGAGTTCTGTAAGGCGAATATTAAATAATTTCTCCTGGTAAATATTTTTACTGCAGTAGAGATAACGATATATTTTTCTGACTTACCAAGTTGTCCAATCTGTACAATAGGAACCAAATCAAGTATACTCAACACAGCCTGATAGAGGCCTGAGTAATTCAGGGTAGGAAAGATGGAGAGCCTGACACTGTCCCTTTGGCGCAGACCATAACTCTCCACTGGGATGTTGGGCACATCTTTTAAAACGCTGAAAAAGTAAGAATTTAGTAGATCACAACTACTTCTAAAATTTTGATAGTTTGTCCAATTCTTAAAATAAGAATTGTTATAAGAAAATGTTTAAATACCTGAGCAGAGTTTGTGAAAAGTATTTCAAAGTATTAGCAATGTCCACACCAGTTGGTAATGGAGCTACATTATTTGTTATCTTATAATGATACTCTTTCAAGTTCCTTATCTTTGAGGTGACTGTAATAAAACAGTATTAAACATTTAAAAAATCAAATAATTATTTCTCTATAGGGGTGTTTATACATGTCATCACAAGAAACATTTGTTGGGGCAGGAGAGTTCTGTGTATCAAGCTCTGTTACCATGAATTAAGGCTAATGCACATCAAAGCTAGAATGTCACAATACTTGACAATATCATGATGTAGTGATTAAAAAGAAGATAACAGTTTCACATTGTTGGGCTTATATATATATATATATATATATATATATATATATATATATATATATATATATATATATATATATATATATATATATATATATATATATATGACATTATGTTATATATATGACATTACGTTATATATATAAAGAAAGAAATAGATAAATAAATTTGAAAATTTGCTAAGTTTCAAAACACATAGGAATACTTTTGTTATATAACCAGCAGTTAAATGTATTCACAACTGATTGTGTAAAGGATACATTGAATTTCTTAACCAGTTTACTTACAGGTTGCAGCACGTGTGGCCATTATCTAGTGTTCTTTTATTTCCAACACGCAAAACAACAGATTCCAATCCATTTGAAACTGACAGCATGAGAAATAGCTGTCAAGAACCTAAAAAAATGTATTAGAATACTATATTATTTAATGAAAATTCAGTTAAGCTTAAAGCAGAAAGATAACTGCTTCTAATAGAGTTTGAGATGGTTAAGGACTATGGTTAGGGTAAAGAATTACCCATGCCGATTCCAATTACTTTACTTATTTAGTCCTTAATCAGTATCTGGTTTAACAGGAAAATACTCCAAAGGTAGATCTAGGCAGTGCATAATAGAATAAATGTAAATGCTTGAATAATTGAAGCTAAGAAATGTAGTCCCCCCCCCCCCCTCCCCCACTAGAATCATCAATTAAGTACATCACATTTCGGGGGGGGGGGTGGAATTTTTACATCTAGACATGCATATATGAAACAATGGTGACCAAAACATTTGTACGATAATTTGTCCTAAGATCTTTTTGTTCTTAAGATAATTTGTCCTGAAATATTTTGTCCTTAAGATCTTTGGTCATGAGATATTTTGGCTTTGAGATATTTTGTAAGAAATCATTTTCCTTGTGACAAAATATATAAGAGATTATCTGAAAAATATAGGACCTAATAATGAAACGTGTAGTTTTTCTTCAAATTAATTTTTGTCTCTTTAATTAATCTTTTTTAGTTCTTTCCACTTCTCTTAGTGGTGCTCTCAACTCTCCAACCCACCCAAAAGAGCAGTGCGAATGTTCAGCCTAGCACATTTTTGGTCCAGAGTGAGCAAGTGCAGCACCAAGCAAGCTTGCATAAATCTTGTTTAAATACCAACATCTTCCTTGTACAGTTTTAGGATGTGTGATGTGGACAGGGTCAACATTTGAAAGACTGGGCACTCTACTCTTCATGAGTGATTTCCTGGTCACAATCCTCACATCAAACATGCCGGGTCTTAGTTGCACCTACAGCCACCATAGCCTAAGCCAGGGGTCCGAGGGCCGCATCAACTATCAAATTTCAGTTTGGGGGCCAGTTTCTTCCAGGCATGTCTTTGGTTTTTCTGGGCAAAGTTCCTAAGCCATCACCAACTAACAATTTTTCCTTGGACAAAAAGGATGAGAGGACTTCGCGTGTCGCATCCGGCCCGTGGGCCGTAGTTTGGAGACCCTGGCCTAAGCCAACCAAGTGTTTATCCACTATCAGCAATTGTCATCTCTGTCATCACATGATCTCTGCACACAACCAATAGTTGTCTCTGCTTTTCTGCGCACATACCCAAGAGTAGTGCAGCTTATATAAACACCAAGACACACACAGCTGTGCATTCTGTTTTTGGAGTCATTCATACTAAACACTTTTTTAAATGAGTTTTACATCCTCCCCTACCCATCATAAAAAAAAGCTAGATTCCCCCTAAAATGACTTCTCCCCTATGGGGTCGTCCATAAATGACATCACACTCATAGGGGGGAGGGGGGTCCGTAATTTTGTGACGGTGTGTGATGAGAGGGAGGGGGGTTCAGATGGTGCGACGTCACACTTTGGCATTATAAAAAAGCAATGTTAGAAAACGAATTTTAGACGTTATTTTGCGTTTTAGAAAACTGTTTTAATAAATTGTAATAGGAATTGATGAAAAAAAAAACTTTATTTTGACAGAGTTCAGACAAAATTTTGGAAAAATATTGATGTTTAAAAAAAAAATTCAACTGCAATTTTGAGGGGGGGGGGGGGGGGGGTTGTAGGCTGAGGCAGTGGCATAGCGAGGTCGGTTGTCACCTGGTGCTGCACTTAATGGTGTCAACCCCCAGAGGCGTAGCGACCCATCCCGGGGACAAACTTTCAAATTTTTTATTTGCACCCCCCCCCCCTCAAACTTTCGATTTGCACCCCCCCTCAAGTTTTCAATTTGCACCCTCTCTCAAGTTTTCAATTTGCACCCCCCCCCATCAAGTTTTTCTCTATATATTTTGCTATTTTTTGCCTTGGTGTCACCCCCTAAATGGTGTCACCCGGTGCGATCCGCACACCTCGCACCCCCCTCGCTACGCCTCTGGGCTGAGGTGTGATGTCATTTTAGGGGGGGGGGGGGGGGTCTGGCTTTTAGTGACAACATGTGACAGAGAGGAGGGGGAGGTAAAAATCGTCAAAAAATGCATGACGTCATTTATGGATGACAACTACCCCCTCAGATGGTTTTTTTGTTGTTGTTTTAAACATCCAGTTACTTCTAAAATATTATTATATTGTGTAAACAGTATATTAATCAATTTCTATAACATTACAACTTACAAAATCAGTCTTTTAAAATGCAAATTTCGGTTATGAACATTTCTTGCTAAAATACAAAAGTGTCAAACTTTCTGAGCCCCCAGCCTCTTATCACACTAGTCAGATCCCCTTGAGCCCCTGTGTTGTCATTTTGTCATTTATGGACAAACCCTTTTAGGGTAATATCATCATGGTCATATGTTTTAGACTACTTATTCACTTATTCATCCAACTATTTTATTTTTCATTAAATTATAATATTAAATAGCTGAGGATTTTGCAAAACTAAAATAAAAAATATAATGTACATCTAGAAACCTAGATTAAAAAGATCTAATCACCAGAATAATACAACCTGGCAATATAATATATTAAATCTAGATTCAACAATAGGCTTATTGGGCAGGGCCACAACTAACTATGGTAGATCTATAACAATAAAATAACAAAATGGTAAACCAACCCCAACCCCCCTCTCTACAAAATATTTTAATATAAGAATATAAGATCTGGACTAAGTGACTAATAAAGTAAAGTAAGGGTAATAAGGCTTGGGCAAGCCTAAAAAGATGCACAACCTTGGCCTTAGTGCCTATAAAAAAAGATACAAAATAAAAAAAATACCCAGCCCTACAATGTTACCTGTAGTAGGTAGACTGTAGGACCCCTAATTTTAAATACTTTAGTTAAATTTAGTAGATCTAGATATTCTAGATCTAAATCTAGATTCTAGATCTACTTAGAAAATAGGCTACTAGATCTAGATCTAGTAGATATAATTTCTAGTACTAATAGATCTAGGACTAGACTACATCTAGAATCTACGTCTATTTATTTAACGTGCTGGTCTGGTCTAGAGTCTAGATTTAAGATTAGATTGTGTAGCGTAGAACTAAGCAGAAATAATATTTAAAAAATAATAAATATTAATTGTAATAGATCTAGCAATCTACTAGATCTAGATCAAATCTAGATTCTACATCTAACTAAATTACTAAACTAATTTGAACGTGAATAAGATAAGTAACATTAAGTCTGATTACGCGGTATTTCTGCAGCTGACTAGCTCACTTGTCTCTGTTTGTTTTTCTCTGCAGCTCGTGCATACTCACACTGTGACCTAGTTTTATCACATTTTGACGTCAGTCTTGAAGATGATTCGACCAGCTTGAGCTTGTAATGTTATTTATGCTCTAGCTAGCTAGTTAGGCCCCAGTTTTACTCATATTTTTAAATAAAAATAAACAAAATCGAGATAGGAGTATTCTAGACATAGAATCTAGATCTAGATCTATACGTGAAAGATATTCTTCTTTTAATTTAATTAAAAAACAAGTTAATAAAAAGTCTAGTGACAATTTAAGCGCAATTTCCTTATGTTATCCATAACAATTTTTAATTTTTTGTGACCGAACGAAAGAATATTTTTTGCGCTAAAAATCTACACGATGCTCAGTTTAAATTAAAAATATCATCCTAGGCCTACACGATGCTCAGTTTAAAAATTCTTAATTAATTTTTTTGTGACCGAACGAAATGATATTTTTGAAAACTTTCTTTGGCAATATTGTTCTAAATTATGGCAGGAATCGATTGGTAAATGTTTCAAGTCGCTAAGTGGTCTGGTTGCCGAGATATGGAGCAAAAACTGCATTTGTTCGAGGTTTTTTTGGCTTTTCCGGGAAATCCAGGAAGGAATTCCGGGAATTTTTTTGGCCCACAATCATCCTTGGAACTTGCTTAACATATTTGCTTTTGGAACTAGTCCTCGATATTGGTTCGTTGAGGAGGAGATACGACTTAAAGCTGCGGACACACATCCATTCATTCATTCATTCATTCATCCATCCATCCAGAAATGACGAGTTAATAATCGCAATTGTCCGTATGGAAATTGCGCTAAAAACGGCTCATCTATTAATGCTATTATTATCGATCGTATTTTTTAAATTTTACTTTCAAAACGTTTTAAATAATATTGAATTGATTATTGAGTATTACCCCCCGACTCCCGACCCATCTTTTATTTAGGGTGTGTTTATGTCTAAAATAAGACCTTCCATTCCGTAAAATAAAATACTAATAGACTAGATGTTCTAGAATCTATAACATAGATCTAGGCTTTTTATTTTCTATGTGAATTAGTGATGCTTCACCACCCCCTCAGAGTTTCTTCCAGAGATTCTACCGTCCCCCCCCCCCCCCCAACGAAATGAAATTTATATAATTTATATAGAAAATATATACTTTTAACAGTGTCCCCCCCCCCCCCCCGAAGAAAGTCTACCGCCCCCCCCCCCCCCCCAAATTTTAAGTGCCCCCCCCCCCCCCCCCCGGAGAAAAAAGTCTGGAATAAACACTGCACCCCTTATCCACAAAACTGTGACAAAACACATTAGTATAGAAATGTAACCACATCTACTTTTATTTTGAATTTGGAAGTATTCGGAAAGTTAACAAACCAGTACACCTAGAATCTAGATCTATATTCAATTTTTAAAAGGGAATAAACCTTTAATGTTTATTTAAACAAAGTTAAAGGGACAAAGTTATTTTACTAAACGGAGGTTAAATTTGCTATTGGCTAGGCCTATTTTGTATTTAAATAGGGTAATCATGCACATACCCTTTAGGCCTACTCATACTTAAAAATAAAGTTAATAAATCAAAATATTTCGTTTAAGAAGTGTAAAACAAACAAAATATTTAATATATCAATGAATTGACTTTTCACAAATGATGTAAACCCATTCTAGAATCTAGATCTATAGATCTAGATCTAGATCTATATAATTTAACTATCGGTCGCGCAATATAAATCTTGATTAGGCATACTGCAAAATCTGGCAGGATTATTTCATATGCTGCCGCAAGTTAGCGAGGCTAAACCGGTAAATAAAAAAAAAAAGAGAATGTCCACTTTTCCAAAAAGCGTTAGGATGTACCTTGTATCAGTGACTGTGCTGCCTCAGAAAGAAGGAATAGATTTACCACGATTTATCCAAAAACTAGCAAATCTTCTTGCGGATTATTCAACAGCAACTAAAGTAATTTATAAATTTAAGGTAGGGTAGACTGTCGTCCAGGTTTTTCAATAAGTGTGCCTAGACTAGTGCGATTGTCACTTGTGAGTAACTTGTGTGTTGTGGTTTTTTTATGTGTGGTGACTGACACTGTTGTGCCACTGTTGTGGTTATTGGATTTATTATTACAGTGTCCGATAATAATAATGGCACAATAATAGAAGTTTCTAGGGTGATTATAGATACCAGTGTCCGATAATGGAATCTTCTTTAAAAAGGGGTGTTTGTTGTTAGATCTAGAATCTAGATCTAGTAGTATTGTAATCTTGACTAATTTTATGGTTAGAAATTACTTCAAATTAGGGTTAGGCGTATGGCGTATGGTTGGACCAGGGTTGGGGTTAGGGACAGGGTTAGCATTGACATTAGCCAGCCATGTGTATATTAAAAGTATATTTAGTTAACTACCAGTAACCTAACACCCCTTTATTAAAGAAGATTCCACTATCATAGGCTATCAGACACAGGTGTAAACATTCTCCTGCTTCCTCCCGCTTCTTAGATTAAAGGGGTGTAAGCCGCATAAAGTTACTGGTAGTTGAACTAGTTGACTAGACCTAAAATCTAAATTTAAGTCGAAAGGCGAGACATAATGAATTAAAGATTAAAGAAGACTGACATAAGTCAGATGCCAAGGGTTTGGGAAGGTTGGTCAACACTTTGCCCTAGAACTAGAATCTAGATCTAACTGCATTTCCTGGGTGGACTCAAGGGACATTCTACTGACTTAAACCCAGATTTAAAAATGAGTTCTCCACCGCTTAGGCCATGCCATTCCGTATAAAAAAATATAAGTTGCAGCCTAAAAGTGCTAAAAGTTGGTATGGATGATTGAAGATGCCAATGTGCATGTAAGACTGAGTTAACCAAAATAGGTGTGTTAGGTTGTTAGTAGTATTGTAATCTCGACTACTTTTATGGTTAGAAATAAGGGTTAGGCTTATGGTGGGCAAGGGTTAGGGTTAGCATTGACATTAGCATGCCTCATATATATTTTGGTTAACTATCCAGTAACCTAACACCCTATTTTTAAGAAGATTCTATTATCTGAGACTACAGTGGCGTAGCCAGGATCATCTCAAGGGGGTGTTCCAATTTTTACCCGGGGACAAGCTTTCGATCTGCACCCCCCCCCCCCCCAGACTTTTGTTTTGCACCCCCCTCAAACTTTCAATTTGCACCCCCCCTCATACTTTATATAATTACAGAGGGGTCTATGGGGGGGGGTTATGACCCCCCCCCCCCTGCCTACGCCACTGTGAGACAATCTCTTCTCACAGCATTACTGTTAGATCTTGTTAAGTATTTTTACTGTCTAGCTAGGTCTAGATCTACCTACATGACACTCACTACTGAACAGTATGAGTAACTATCAAAGGAAAGTCTAGCCTTGACGTTGAACACTAAGTGACACTAGACTGGTAGCAGACTAGTAGATTGATAAATAAATAGGGAGTAGTGTTTAGTCAAGAGTTACTAGATCTAGTTCTAGTGACAGTGCACTGTGTGCTAAGGTTGTTGGTTTAAAAACAATGGAAGTTGCAAAATACTAAGCTGTTAAATGTGAGAAAGATCTTTGAAATTACTGGTAAATGGCGGGACTTTTTAAAATATACTTTTCCTGGTTATTTAAGTCAAAACTGTTATTGTAAATTATCAGAATTAAAGAAGTACCTATGAGTTTTATTTCTTATCTTATAATAAAACATTGTCTTTGACTGATTTTATTAATTGTGAAGAAATGTCAGCAATACTGTAAAAAAATGTCTTGCTGGAGACATTGTTATGTTCTTAAATATTTTGTATTATTGTACATGTGATATGAACAGGATAAAAAAACATAATTTAAAAAAACCTTTAAAATGTATTTAAGCTATAAAATCTACAAATAAGAATAAACAACAAAATGTACATGTCATTGTCAACAACAATGCTACTAATACTATTTAAATATATCTCATGGATGATATAACCTTTCACAAGTGGAGGCCTACATCCAATATATTATCTTGCCATCTTCACATCTCCCTTTCACAACTTTTCAGTCACATTTGCTACACAAAGCCATATTTTCATCACAGTTTCTCTGTGGTCAACACACCCAGTGATACTCACATCTGCATCTCTATTAATACTTTCACCATATACATGATTGTGGTGTTGGAACCTACTAGATCTACTAATAATACAAAAATGAACTTTAAAAAAGATGCATGGTTGATGTTCAATTTCTGTCAGAGTGCAGTATAGACACTGAAGTTGATTAATTATCAACACTTCTTCTCGTGAAGTCAAGGCATTTCTATCTAAAGGGGTATAATTTGGTCCAAGGATAGAGCATATTTGACCTAACATTTAACTGTGTGCTACTCACCTGTTTGAAAATTCAAGTTTGTCTGAAATAAAGAAAAGCTAACAACACATGGCACATTTCCTAACCCACACCCTTCTTTACTTTTACTGTAATCTAGAAATAGAATGGTCATTTCTCTATCAGGCATAAATAGTGCTTTTGTTTTATTAGATTTGGTATATGAAACCACAGTAACAAATCTCAGTTATTATAGAGATAGTAAAATAATAAACACGTTTAACAATAGCCAAATAAATATTTACAATTATTTTTCTAAATATTATCAGATTTTGTACAATCAAGTTATGCTGGGTTTTAACAATAATTACACTAAATAATTAAAATAAATCAAATGTTTTATAAAAATAAAAGTAAGATTTTCACAGTTTTTCATTTCTGTTATGAGTTGTATTTTTTGGTTAACATAAATATTTTAACAACCAAACTCATCAAAAAATAAAAGATGCATTATGGCAATGATTTTATATTATTATTTTTAGATATTTATTATTTTTTTTTCTATTTTATTTATTTATGTTTTAGGTATCTGGAGAGTCTAGAATACTTTCCGGTAAGCCTTTATGATGTTTAAAAATGTATTTATTAAAAACAATTGATACAGTTACATTACAGTTTATTTATCATGACGTTAATGATTTGCTTTTTCTTTTTATATTATTTTTTCCCCAATTTACTACATTTTTGTAACTAATTGATATTTACAACTTTGTTTCAAAAACATCACGGTAGGTTGCTAACTATCATTACTCTGATTCATACAAATTTGTTGCAAATGCATGACATAGCTCCTTTCAATGAGTTTTTACCATTTGGATTTATTTGCTTCTTAGACAAATTTTTTAAGTATTCTTAAGTAATATATCAATACTATTTTTTTTTTTAAATATAAATCTTTTGTCCTTGAGGTTTTGTTATGTTTGAAGAGTTTAGAATTAGAGGCTTAGAATTGGCGTTGCCAGATGGTTTGTGTATTTGCAAATTATTTAATGATAGAGAAATTTGAGAGCTGTGTTACGGCATGAAGAGAAACATGGCAGTAATTTTACAGAATTGTTGTTTTAGAGGTCTTATATTAAATTAAATTAACACTTATCATCTACATTTATTGGTTACTGTGACTTATGTTTCTTTTAAAAATCACTTGATCATTCATCATGCACTTACCTGATTTAAAATGTTTGTATCTTTATCTGAATTCAGTTGTTCAAGTCTCCAATATCATAGGACTAGAACGTACTATTGGAGGCTTATGGAGGTTAGGTGCTGTGGATGTAGATTGTCAGCCCATTATAAACTATGAAAATTTTGCCCGTGCTATTAAAGTAGCTGATCATCTGACCAAGCCCAATACTGGGAGCCTGGCAAAAGAGGGTCTTTTCTGGATGGAGTTCAATGTGGAATATAATGGTAAGTTAATAATTGTGCTAATGTTAACATAGAGAATTTGTAGTCTATGGTGTCTCTTCTGGACTGAGTTACTTTACATGGCAGCATAAAAATTTTATTTTTTTCCAAATATAACATTAGTTACGCCCAGTTGATATGTTCTAACAGAAGTAATTTTATTTAGGAAAAAGCACAGATGAATTAATCACTATCTGGAAAAAGGAGGCTGAAGCTGTGCTAACAGCTAGACTCAAAGAAGGAACGTCTATAGAACTTTATAAGGTTGTTGCACAAAGAAAGGTTAGTATACCATTATTAATTGGGGTTTTTTTTTGTAACTTATATATTAACTTTTAATTACAATTTTATAATTGCTGTATTCTAAAAATAGAAAATAAAATTAAGCTTGTCCTAACTAATTTTCCCTAAAAATGTATAGAAAAAAATGTATTTTATTTTTTCTTTAACCATTAATGTCCCATTCATTCTACCAAAACTCCACCCATGACGGCCCAATGTAAGGAGCATAACTCTGTATGATCAAGTGAATAGTTTCACAAAATATTTGTTTTTGTCTAAATGAAATTGAAAATTAAGATAAAAACTACTGCTTAATGTTGGGAATAAACCTGGCTTTCCAACAGTATTAAATAGAATATATTATATTCGGTAAAAGTACAGTAAAAAAATAAAAAATGTCGGAGAAAATTCAAAACAGGTCATTTTCGGTAGTCAACTTTATTTATTTTTGTCTAAACAACTAAGCATCGAATTTAACAGTTAAATATCAATTTGGTTATGTTTAAGATAAATAATTCATAAAATACATGCCTAGATACGTTTAGAGGCATTATTTTATTTTATTTTTAACATTAAATCTACTAAAAAAAGGACAGATGAGTCTAAAATTTCGAGATCGAAAGAAGCTATTATTTTTTATCTTTCAAAAGCGCCATTGAAATTATAAGACCGGAAAAGGATGGTGAAACTATCCGACTTCCTGTTTAGTTAAAAATTAGGATTTGTAGGCCAAATTTTAATGAAACAAATTTAATTTTTCTATGCGTATTTTAAGCGGGCGGCAGCGGGCGTTACGGGACATTAACGGTGTCGGGCGGCAGCGGGCGTTACGGGACATTAATGGTTTTAAACATGTTCAAACTTTAATTTTCTCTTTTCTCTCAGGTTCATGTGTTTATTAATGCCGCAGACCCTGAACAAATAGATCTTTTGTGCCTACAGTTGCCACTCATGCAGGAGAATGGAGCTAATGTTCAATTGAAATGCAAAGCCCTGCAGTTTCTAGAAGATTATACTTCCCGAATAACTAGTGAATCTGTTTAAATCTGTTATCTACTCTATCTCAAATTGTAAAAATGTTATTGGTTTTAAAAACACACTGGGTAATCAAGAATATCATCAAGCAGTTTTTGGAGGTATATTTACACATGATCCCTTTTTTTTATCACATCAGTAGATTTGTTTTCTCTCTAGCATCATCTTGTACCAGAACTGATTACTGTCCACCAAATTATTCCTGAAGATTATGAAATCAGATGCTACTTCCTTTGAATTGTTTGGAAGAACTCATTGTATTGGCAGATCTTAAAATTTTACATTGAGATTTTATAGAATTTACCTTCACTATTTTAAGACATACTTTAGACCTATCTCTTCTTTCGTATCAGTATATGAATATGTTTATGATTCACAAGAGAGACCATTTTTTAGTTTCATTCAGTCTTGTTTATCATTTCACGCATTGTTATTTTATTCAAGTTCTAATTTTCTGTACATAGTTTTGAATCAGAGGTTGTGAAGTCACAGAACTATAACTTTCAGAAAGTTAATGACTTATACTTGGGTGATATCTTTTAATCAAAGAAGCTTTTTATTATTTTCTTTATTTTGTTTGGGCATTAATTATTAATGGACAAAAAATGAATTTAAATTTCCTGCAACTTGTCATAGATACTTAATGAAATGTATGATATAATCAAAATGTTAATCATGGCACTTATGCATAGTTTTTTTTTTGTTCTGAGATTTGTAACCAATTTTTTTTTATTTGTAGCTACTAGCAATGTTACAATAAATTTAAAATTGTTTATATTATCAAAGTCTTGTCATTTATTTTGTTTTCCAAATAAGGCTTTATCTATTTTTCTCATAATAATGCATTAAAGTATTTAAAGAAAAAGGATTCTAAGAACTTTATTTGTTGGTATTCTCCATTTTTGCAACTAGTTTTATGCTTCATCCCTTTCTTTGGTATTTCACTATTTCCAGAACTGACTGTCAATCACATGTCATTATTTTTAAAGGCTGCGCTAGCTTATCACCATGTTAGCATTGTTGTCCCTTATAATGGTGGTCTGATCTATTAGCTTATGCAAGACTGCCTGTCATCTCTGATTTACATCCATACAGTGTTATTCTAGAGGTACTATCAAAGGGTTCTGCAAATGTAAACAGTAGGCGTTTTGAATGGAATGAGTAGTATGAATGTTGGTGCATCAAAGTGTTGTTTGCTTTTAACTATCCAGGTTGTCTGTTCTCTCAGTACTAAATACATTAGCAATGTTTGCATTTAGTCAGCTGATGTACCTTAACTGAAAACCCTGCAGTTTTTATATTGCTGAAACCCAAGGAACTATTTGTATAAAATTCTGGTTTTCTATTAGTTTAATGTTGACAAAACTTATTTGTGTTGGCACAGGTCGTGGGGTCAGAGATCACCATGTCAATAAGTATTGAGGCACAAGTCCAGCACTATATGTCCTTAAAATTAAAAAAAGAACTCGAAGCGCTGGCCACTGAGGGTATCTCCTTGTTTGTTCGTACATTTCTTGTGCGCAACAAGCAGGCTTGTCCATTGAGGCTAAAATATTTACATAAGCTAGGGCGTAAAATGGACAGTTCCTGTATAGCTTTTATACACCTAAATAGAAGCGTATTTTAAACCTCTGGATAGGTTTATATTTGCAGAAGAGTAGGCAAGAGGTCATCCATAAATGACGTCACGCTTTTTTTGACGATTTTTACCTCCCCCTCCCCTCCGTCACAAATAGCCAGACCCCCCCCCCCTAAGATTACGTCACACCTCAACCTACAACCCCCCCCCCCCCCTCAAAATTGCAGTTGAATTAAAACATCGATATTTTTCTAAAATCTTGTCTAAACTATTACAATTTATTAAAACAGTTATCTAAAACGCGAAATAACGTCTAAAATTCGTTTTCTAACATTGCTTTCTTGTAATGCAAAAGTGTGACGTCTGAGCCCCCCCCCCCCCCCCCCCCTCCCCCTCATCACACATCGTCACAAAATTACGGACTCCCCCCTACGAGTGTTACGTCATTTATGGATGACCCCCCAAGGTTTTGTTGGCACTGTTTTCATTTGGGGGGGGGGGGGGGTACATACAATATAAACATGCAAAAAACGAGCCCATAAATAAATAAAATCAAAACAAATGATTACCTAATGGAGTTGGAGTTCCATTTAATTGATTTTAATTGAGGCTAGACACTCTGTTACCCGTGATGTTGTAACCAGCTGGAGATTACATAAAAACAGTAATGGTCACATTACCTACATCACTCAGCCATTTTAATTTTTTAAATGTAATTTTTTTTTAAAAAGCAACATCTATATCTACATGGACCCACATCAGAACTTTTTTGTTACACATTTAGCACATACCACGCAATCAATATTAAAACAGTTTTTTTAGATGAAGTATTGTAATCGTGCAAAAAAATCGAAATCGAGATTTTCACAAATCTCGACGTTTTACACCTCCCTGAGGCGGAAAAAAACATAGTTTTGCAATTTTGGCAGTATGTCTCTGTGTGTGTCTGTGAGCACGATAACTTGAGTACCGTTAAAGCTAGGTTGATGAAATTTCATATATAAGTATTATATCGACTTGGTAGTTCTGTATCAATTTTCACAGATTTCCTGTAACCGGAAGTGGAACTTATTCTGCTTTTGTTTTTTCAAAAGCCTATAACTTGAGTACTGTTTCAGTTCGATAAACGAAATTTCACATATAAGTAAAATATCTAATTGTCTGCCTTCTTTCAAATGTTGAGTAATTTCCGTTGACCATAAGTAGTACTTTGCGCTATTTCCGATTTCTAAAAAAAAAACCCATATGAATGTATAAAGTACTAATATTCCGCACTATTACACACATATTATGTGCCGTTCACTTAGTGCGCAATACTCTTTTCTACGAGATTCTATACTATGTTAAAAAGATTAAGCTTTTAAAAATTGATTAAAAATCATGTCTATATCCCGAGTTGCCATCCCCGTTGTGTTATATAAGAATATTCGAGAAAGTTTAAGGGAGTTCACTCCCGCTTTATTTTTTTATTGTTAGGGAATATATCTGAATTATTAGTTTTTTTTCTTTACATTGAATTTTTCTTTTCCGAAATGTTAAAATTGAAGTCGCTTCTAAATTTATTATAAATGTAGTCTAGTAGTCTAAATCCGATTATTAGCAATGATTAAAGTCTTTGAATGCTTATTGAAATAGAAACGTATAATTATGCAGCTATTAGAATCTATAGACCTTTACAACATTTAACGTATAGGTAATTTTTAAAATAAACAAGACTCGGTAATTGAGATAGCCTCCCCTTGTAACAAGCAATTACGTTTCCTCCCCGTGTTCCCTGTTGTCATTGATAGATCAATCATACATAGAACAAACCCCCTTAGTCTATACTCAAATTCCCCATAACGAACGTAATTTGTGCTTTTAATATAATCGCAGCATAATGATACGGTACAGTTTTGGTTTAGAATTTTAAAAAAAAAAAATCCTTACCTTAAAATCATGTTCACTATTCATAAATATTTCAATGGTTAGTAATAGTGATCAAGATTCGTGAATTGTAAAACACTGTTTTCCGCACACTCACACATGTTGTACACTATGCAGTTGAGTACACTTCCGAAACCTGATGGACCATAACACTCAAGTGTTCGCTAAAGTTCGCAGATACCAACACGTGTAAGCTCGCAGGCCACATAGAGTTGCCTAAAATGGCCAACGTCTCTTTATTGATCCCACCAGCAGAAACAGCGAACAGCCCCATTAGCAGTAACGTTCGATTTTTTGTCGAACTTTATTTCAACGGCTTCCTCCTGACGTGTTTATCTCTATTTGGGATGGCAACAAACGCTATCAACATTGTGGTATTTATTAAACACGGGCTCTACGACACAGGGGTTTTGCCCTTGCTTGCTCTGTCCATATCAGATCTTGGGCACCTCATATTTCTAAGTATTTTCGGAGTGAGTTCTCTCTTCAAGTGCTTATGTCCAGGTCTCTTGGTCGATCCAAACTCCATCGCCATTGTAGTTGCCTCGTGGCCACGCACGATGTTTGTGAATATTTCTGTTTTGATCACCATGTTTATTTCCGTTGAGCGAAGTCTCTGTGTCGCTCTTCCATTCAAATTTCGAGGGGTTTTGAAACCGTCGAGAATAATTGTGATTTTGTTTTCGTTTTTCTTCCTCGGAATAGCCTGCTACTTGCCGATATTCTCCACGCTAAGTCTTCGATGGAAGACTGACGCTGTTCTCAACACAACTCGTCTGCTATTTCACATGGGAGAGCACTACAGCGAAGCAGAAGTGGCCGTCAGCGTTTTCAACAGCGTCACGCTCACAACGTTATCCCAGATAACGGTGATGACGTCAACTCTTATCTTGATTGTCTGCCTGAAACGCTCCTCTCAGTTCCAGTCTAAGTCGCAACACAAGACGATATCATTAGCATCTAACGTGCCACTGAGAAATAAAAATCTGACCAGGCTAGTGCTTGTCATCTCTGTGATGTTTGTCGTCTGCAACTCCCCGACCGTGGTCACCGTGTACTCTATCATGCTAATTCCAGAATTTCAAACTGTCAGGAACTACTACGAGCATGTCTCTTTCCTGTTCTTCTGTTTCGTTTTTTTCTTTGGCGCCTTGCACGCTTCAGTGAATATATTTATTTACTACAAACTAAGCAGCAAATACAGGATGTGCTTGTGTAAATTATTTCACATTTGAGAAACGAATACTTTCTTAAGTCAAAAATCCATTTTAATCTGGAGTATAAACGTCCATAAAAGCCACAAAGTCTTGGTGTGTGTGTGTGTGTGTGGGGGGGGGGGGGTTAATAAGAGGTCAGGAGTCAGAGGTAAATATCTACTATTATTGAATTATAATTTTTTTGTTTTTTGTTTGTCCGTTTGATTACAGGAGAGAATCTGCACTATGTGTAGAGCTTTAAAATAGTATGTAGGTAGAAACAATTTTCAATACAAGATCTCGTTGCCCATATCAACGTTTAACGCGTTCTAAAGCTAATTTTCAGTCGGCTATAGCTCTAAAGATACGTCAATTTGCTATTTCTATTACGTTCCAACGCTAATATCAATTTTCAACACATATTTCATTTCAGTAGGCCTATACAATAAATGTCACTAGATCTAGAATCTAGGTCGAACCAAATTATTTTAAAATCAGAATAATTTATTGTGTTTCTTTATTAAACTATTTTAGTCCTTAAATCATTTATATAAATCTTTGCTTTTTAGCTTCACGGATAATCTAATTCAAGAATACAAGTGATTTATCTATCTAGATCTATATTTAATCTAGATCTAGATCTATATCAAATCAAGAGTTACGGCAAAAACTAGACTTCATCAAATCAGTCGTAGAATCTAGATAATTCTATCTAGATCTAGATAATAATGAGTTTCTATACTAAACTATTTCAGACCTTCATTATTTTATGTAAATCTTTGTTTGTTTAGCTATGGAATTGGCTAATTTAAGCTAAAATTTAATTTGAAAGTTACTAGACCTAGATCTAGATAGGGCCTATGCGCGTAAATCAAGTTGCGTAAGGAGACTCAAAGTATTAAATTATAGTATAATTATACCATAAAAAACCTCAATAACGTCACGAGTCTATATAGCTAAGTTGTTAGTGTAATATGCTTTCATGCGGGTGGCAAGGGTTCTAGACACATCACTTCAATGTAAAAAAAAATCTATTTTTTTAGATGTAAATGATAAAGTTGTCTATCTGAACTTGGTGTGATACAGGGCAGGTGAAGTAGAGTTCACCTGTTTCTTTGTCCTAAAATATGAAGGAATAGTGTGGTCAGAGACATACTCGGCCGGA